AATTTTGCTCTGCTCCTCACCAGCCGTGTGACCTTGAACAAGGTATACCCACCTCTGTGAGCTTCCGTTTCCTTATGTGTAACATTGGGATAATGTAAATGCCCACTTTGGGTGGTCGTCTGGGGGAAATCAGTAAATGAGGCGATGCATGGAACGCCCTGGAGGTGTGTCAGCAAGGTGTGAGTGCCCAGGAGTGCCCGTAACACGCACCATCCCAGTCCCTGACCAGCTCAGTCCTGCTCTGAAGAGGACTTCCTTCCCAAGGGTGGACAGACTACACGCAGACTTTGAAGAAGACAGGTTCATGCAGTCACCAATTTTTTAAAAATCTCCCATTACATATCAGACACTGTTCTAAGCACTGAGGATAGCAGTGGACAAGGCAGACAAAAACCCCTCCCTCCCTCCTTGGCCAGTGTGGCTCAGTTGGTTGGGCGTAGTCCCATACACCAAACGGTTGCCAGTTCTATTCCCGGTGAGGGCACGTGCCCAGGTTCCGGGCTTGGTCCCTGGTGGGGGACATGCAGGAGGCAGCTGACCGACGTTTCACGTTCTCACATCAATCTTTCTCTCCCCTCTCTCTAAAAATCAATAAACTTAAAAAAAACAAAAAAAAAAAAACTCTTCCTCCCTTGGAGGTTACATTCTAGAGATAAATGAGTAATATGTTTTCCTAAGTGTCAAAGAGAAAAATAAAGTAGGGGAGATGGACGGGAAGTTTTGGGAGACAGGGTGGCCAGGGAAGGCCTGGTGGGGCGTGGGGGGTAGGGGTGATTTTGAGCCTAGACTTAAGGGGGTTGGGGGGGCAGCAAGGCATGAGGCTGAGAAAACATTCGGGCAAAGGGAACAGCAGGAGGTGGAGTGTGTCTGGTGGCAGTGCCCGGATCCCCACCTCAGTCACACCTCTGAGGCCACACAGCCAGTCAAGAGCAGAGAAGCAAGTAAGAACAAATAAACTAAACACCACAGAGCCACCAAGCCTCCCCTGAAGCCTGATTCTGCTGCTTTTTCCTCACTTGCCGCATCATTTTCTGGGACTGAGTTCTAAGATGGTAAGAGTGAGCGCGGACCGAGCACTTCCTGTGCCAGGTGCTCCCCTGGGTGCTGCCAGCTATCCGCTCACTTCTCCACAGCACCCACACGAAGAGGGGACTTTTCACTCTCACAGACAATGAAACAGACCCAGGAGGTTAAGTACCTTGCCCAGAGTCAGACAGCTAGTTCTCCACCTCCCACAAGCCCTGTAGGGCAGTGGCCAGTGGTGGGGCAGTTGAGCTCAGGAGAGCTGGGTTCAGACTCTTGGGTTAGCAGTAAGGCCAGGGGCAGATCACACTGCCACTGTGTTCTCTCTGCCTGACAGTGAGGAGTGTACAGTATTGAGAGCCTCAGTTTCCTCATCTGTACAGCGGGGTTGATGATAGCCCCTGCCTCACGATGGCCCTTTTTGAGTTTTGCAATGCGGTCATGCAGATAAAATGCTTAGCTCTGTACTTGGTACATCGTAAGTATTGCACAAATGGCAGCTACAAATATGTACCACGATCATGACGATTCTCGGTCAGCGGTGGCCAACCGGTGAGGTCCGAAAGGTTGGTGACCGCCGTCCTAGGTGGTCTCTAAGGGCCAGGCCAGCTTTGGACTTCCCTGGTTCTAAGAAGCCGCCGTAGGCCTTGTCCCAGTCAACATGCCATGCCTCAGCGGGCGCCACGCCTCAGCGGGCAGCCGGCCTGGGCGGTGCAGGTGGGCTGGCTGGCCCGGGAGTGTGGGGGCTGGACTGGAACCTGCGCTTTGCTGGCTGTGCAGGCTGCTGCTTCCTGGTGAAGGGCCTCTCTAATGTTAACACGTGGGCTGTTGAAAGAACACAACCATTTGTCTGTGCTCGACTCACAACTCTCTGACATCACGGGTGGGGGTTTTCCCCTCACTGATCAATCCTGATACTGGCCGGGTGTCCTACCATTCGCTTCTGACACCAGCTACCTGGAAATAGTGTCACATGCCACAGGGTAAGGCTCAGTCCCACCAGCAAGCCCCCTGCTTCAGATGCCAGTTGCAAATCCAGGCCTCCTGTACTTTTGACCGACCAGCTATAAATTGAGGTTTGATCATTTGCTAGAACGGCTCACAGAACTGAGGGAAATACTTAGGTTCGCTGGTTATGTAATGGAGCATATGCTAACAGACGAATAGGCCATGTGGAGGTGAACAGGACAGGTCTGAAAGGGGCTTGCGCACAGGAGCAGAATTGTCTCCGAAGAGTCGGGATGCGTCATCTTCCCAGCAGGTGGATGTGTTTGCCGACCTGGGAGCTCTATTGACCCTGTAGTTAAGGAATTTTTATGGAGCCATCATCACGCAGGCATGATCGATCATTAACTCGGTCTCCAGTCCCTCTCCGCTCCCCAGAAGTTGGAGGTGGGTGGGACTGGAAGTCCCAAGCTCCTGTCATGGCTTGGTCATTCTGCTGACCAGCCCCTGTCCAGGAGCCCACAAGCAGTCACCTCATTAGAACAAAAAAAGCTCACGGACTTTGGAGCAGAATCAAAGTGTCAGGAAGCAGAATCAAAGACCAACCATTAGAACAAAAGATGCTCCTAATGCTCTTACCACTTAGGAAATTTCAAGTTTTAGAGGCTCTCTGTCTGCCATGGAGATGAAGACCAAATATATATATTCCTAATATATCAGAATATCATAGCTCACATCTGTAAACAAGCCCTTCACCCTGATTTGGTATACTCAAGAACACGGGCTTTGGAGCCAAACTTCCTGAGATCAGGTGCCAGCCCCCGCTAACTGCTCATATATTCTTGAGTCAGCTACCTAGCACCTCTGAGCCTCAGTTGTTCACTTAAAAATGGGGAAGCTAGCCTGGCCAGTGTGGCTCAGTGGTTGAGCGTTGGCCCATGAACCAGGAGGTCATGTTTGGATTCCGTGTCAAGGCACGTGCCCTGGTTGCAGGCTCCATCCCCAGTAGGGGGCGTGCGGAGGCAGCTGATCCAGTATTTCTTTTATCGATGTTTCTTCTATCTATCCCTCTCCCTTCCTCTCTCTAAAATCAATAAAAATATACCGGTATTTAAAAATAAAATGGGGAAGCTAAGCTACTTTTTAGGGTGGTGAAGAGGAAGGAGTAAATGAAGTAACCCCATTAAAGCATTGACCCTGGGGGGTCCCAGTGGGCCAGTGGCTGTCATGGGAGGGGGTGCTCGCATCACGTTACAACAGACCCACCTGCAGCCCAGCAGCTGAGGGTAGCACTGACCCGGGTATGTGCCGGCCATTGGAGCTGCCGATCGTGTGTGTTCACCTCTGTTTATCGCCGGTTCTCTGGGGAGGAGTCAGAGCAGTATCTGGGGAATTGAAAGGGACTGCGGAGGGAAGGCCTTTTAGTCCAGATAGCATGATCACTAAGCAGGAAGATAAGATTTTTATGGGGTGGGGAACTCCTGACGCAGGACACGTCAGAGAGCGTGTGACCCAGGGCATTCCGAAGGAGGTCACACCCCGGCTCTGAGGAGGGCAGCCAAGAGGGGCCGAAAGCTCTGCTCTCGGTCAGCGGGCCTGGCTCTGTGAACAGGCCCCTCCTGCTGTTAGCAGCTCCGTGTGACTTTGGCTAAGTCACTGTGTGGCTCTTGAACTCAGATCTTCAATTGGAAAACAGTCCCAAAGCCCCTTCTGTGCCCACAGGGGAGAGAGCAACTGTGAGTGCCTTCTGTGTGGTGATTGCCACAGCTCGCCTTGGGGTTGCCTACTGTTCCTTTTGGATGAGCTTCCCAGGAAGAGATGAGATAGGAGTTGTGTTCCACCCCCTCCCACAACCCCTGTTTTAAAGCCACAGACCTAAGGCCCTCAGCTCTCAGAGTAAGGAGTGGGACCCACGTTTCCTCATCCCTGGTCTGGTGGCCTTTCCAGTGCCCTCCAGAGACTGGAGCGAGCTGGGCACTGGGTATGAATGGTGTCTTTGGTGGTCCTCTGGCTCCTGGGCCAGAAATCCCTCAAAGACGGACGGACTGACGGACGGATGGGGCTGGCTCCTGAGAGAGGAAGTCCTTTCCTAATTTGAATATCTAGCAGCTTGGTCCAATAAAACATCTCAAGCAATTCTATTTTGATATGTAAATGAAACCGTTATAAAAAAGACAATATGCAAATGTGTGCTTTCCTTTGAGCTTTAAGATCGGGCCAGAGGGACTGGAGAGTGATCCCACAGGCTTCCCTGGGCCTGGAGGACCGCACTGAGCTGCGGTGTGTTTTGAATTGGGAATATGCAAACTCTCTTGTTCCTGTCCTGACGGCCAGCAGACGAAGGCTGCCATACTCTGTGTGGCCTCCCGGGTCCCATTGGAGGCGGCTAAGCAAACAGCCTGACAGAGCCCCCTGGGAGGGTCGGGGTCTGCAGAGCAGCCCCTGTCCGCTTTGACCCCAGCACTCTCCCACCCCCTAGCTCCCGGGGTCCCTCCATTTCAGTCATCTACTGAGCACGTGGTTTGCTCCTTCACAGAGGGAAGAGGCCCGGCCCGAGGGACTTGCTGAGCCACCCTCATTCTGCTCCATGTTGGCGGTGCTGTCAGGTGAGGCGGTGAGAGATCTGCAGCTGGGAACGTTTGGCCCGGAGGCGGCGGGCCAGCCATTTAGTCTAGCCTCGCGAGTCCTATGAAATGGCTGCCAGTCCAGTGGCAAAGAGGTGTCCGTTGCTTGTTTTCCTAGCCTGTGACTTTGGAGGTTTAACCTTTGACCTTCATCCAGGCCTGAGGTATCCCTGGCATCTTCCAGCCCCAGATATTGGACATCCTGGTGTTGGCTGCTGGCCAAATGTGGGTGGCTAAGGTTAACCCCCGACTAGTGGAAGCTAGTCAGCCTTCCACTGGCCTCTGACCGACAACATCTAACCCTCCACCCCCACCGCCAGCTCACCTCCCTGCGTTTTGAGGCCCCTGCCCCCGGCCCCGCCTCTGAGATGCTCCCCTGACTTCTTCTCCTCTGTCTAGGCTGGTGCCATGCCCCCCCCAGCAGAGGTGACGGACCCATCCCACGCCCCCGCCGTCCTGCGCCAGCTCAATGAACAGCGGCTCCGAGGCCTCTTCTGCGATGTCACCCTCATAGCCGGGGACACCAAGTTTCCTGCTCACCGCAGCGTCCTGGCGGCTTCCAGCCCCTTCTTCAGGGAGGCCCTGCTTGCCGCAGCTCCGCTGCCCCTCCCACCAGCTATTGGGGGCGCAGCCCCTAACCCTGCCGCCACCACAGCTGCCTCCTCCTCCTCCTCCTCCTCCTCCTCCTCCTCCTCTCCACCTCCAGCTTCGCCCCCGGCTCCCTCCCCACCCAGGGTCCTAGAGCTGCCGGGGGTCCCGGCAGCCGCCTTCTCCGACGTCCTCAACTTCATCTACAGCGCCCGCCTGGCGCTGCCCGACGGCGGAGGGGATGGGGCCGCCGTGGCCGAGATCGGAGCCCTGGGCCGGCGCCTGGGCATCTCCCGCCTGCAGGGCCTGGGGGAGGGAGGGGACGCCTGGGTGCCTCCCGCCCCGGCCACCGCGCAGCCCGGAGAGGACAGCTTTGGGCCGGGGCCCGCCGGGGAGTGGGAGAGCGACAGGGCGGAGGCCCAGGCCGCTGCCCCGCAGCCCGCCCTGCCCCGGCCGCCCCTGCCCTGCCCGCGGTGCGGGAAGAGCTTCATCCACCCCAAGAGGCTGCACACGCACCAGGCGCAGTGCCGCCGCGGGGCCGGCGCCAGGGGCTCCGGGAGCTCCGGGGGCCCCGCCCGCATGGACGCCGCGGCCCTGCCCCCCGCGGCGGGCCTCCGGGGGGGCCCCGAGCACGTGGTGAAGGTGGTGGGCGGCCACGTGCTGTACGTGTGCGCCGCCTGCGAGCGCTCCTACGTGACGCTGTCCAGCCTCAAGCGGCACAGCAACGTGCACTCGTGGCGCCGCAAGTACCCGTGCCGCTACTGCGAGAAGGTGTTCGCGCTGGCCGAGTACCGCACCAAGCACGAGGTGTGGCACACCGGGGAGCGCAGGTGAGTGGCTGGGAGGAATGGGGGGGCGCGGGGGAGAGGGGAATCAGTGAGTCAACTGTCAACACCCAGGCACCACGTGGACCAGGGAGGAAGCGGGCAGAGCGTGGAGCCTAGGAAGTCACCGCCGCCCCATCACCTGCTCTCCATCCCTTACCCATCTGCCTCCTTTCAGCCCAGCTCCTCCTGCTGATACTTCCTAGCACCTCTAGGTGCCACGACCGGCTGGTGCTATGAAGACCGAGGAGGAAGGATAGAAGTTATCCTCACGGGAAAAGACTGTGCCCATCAGTCGTTATAATATGTCTTTCCATAGTGTCCCTGTTCATAAGACCTTTCCCCTGTCATAGGAGCTTAAAAGAAGGCCTGATGAATTAGGCGAGGTGTGTGATTATTCCCAGGTCACAGCTGGGACAGCTGGGGTGGGGACACTGCGCTAGGTAGGACTGGGGTCCCTCCCGAGGCTGGCAGGGTGGGTAAGCAGCACGAAAGGCGGGTGAGCAGTGGCTGAGGGGGTTCCAGGTCTGAGGGGAGGGCAGTAGAGGTTATGGGAAGCTGAGGCCCTGGCTTCAGGGCTCCTGACTCAACTGGCTCTGTCCCCACCCTGTCTCCTGTGCCGGCCCAGGTACCAGTGCATCTTCTGCTGGGAAACCTTTGTCACTTACTATAACCTGAAGACCCACCAGCGAGCCTTTCATGGAATTAGCCCAGGCCTCCTAGCCAGTGAGAAGACACCCAACGGAGGCTACAAGCCCAAGCTCAACACCCTCAAGCTGTACCGCCTGCTCCCCATGCGGGCAGCCAAGCGACCCTACAAGACCTACAGCCAGGGAGCCCCCGAGGCCCCTCTTTCTCCAAGCCTCAACACACCGGCCCCTCCAGCAGTGCCAGCCAGCCCACCGCCTGGGCCCCCGCCTGCCCCGGAGCCCGGCCCCCCACCCTCCGTCATCACTTTCGCCCGCCCGGCTCCCTCTGTCATCGTTCACGGGGGCAGCGGTGGTGGAGGGACAGGGGGTGGGCTGGCCAACACAGGTGGGGCCCATGCCGCCTCAGTCATCACTTACACTGCTCCCCCGAGGCCCCCCAAAAAGCGTGAGTACCCACCTCCTCCCCCAGTGCCTACACCCACACCAACCAGCCCGGCCACGGCAGGCAGCCCGGCCACGCCTGCAGGGCCTGCCGCGGCCACCGAGGAGACCAAAGGCCGCAGCCTGCGGGCCGGAAGGACTCTGACCTACGTGGCTAAGCCAGCCGGTGGGAGTGGCGGGGACGGGGGTCCCCCCGCAGGGCCCGGCCGGGGCCCTCAGCTGCAGGTGCCGCCGCCGCTGTGTCAGATCACTGTGCGAATCGGCGAGGAGGCCATCGTCAAGCGCCGCATCTCAGAAACTGACCTGCGTCCCGGGGAACTGAGCACAGAGGAAGTGGAGGAGAGTGAGGAGGAGGAGGAAGAGGAGGACGAGGAGGAGGAGGAGGAGGAATCGAAGGCCGGTGGGGAGGACCAACTGTGGAGGCCCTACTACTCGTACAAGCCCAAACGCAAGGCCGGTGCTGCAGGCGCGGGCGGCGGCGGGGGCAGCGGGACACCCAGGGGCCGCCGGCCGCCGCGCTGGAGACAGAAGCTGGAGCCCAGGAGCTGGGAGGAGAGCCCAGGGGCTGAGCGTAGGCACCGCTGCGGGGACTGCGCCCAGACCTTCGCCACCCAGAGGAAGCTGCGGAAGCACCAGGAGGCCCACAGCGGGGGCTCCCACGGCTCCCGGGCCGGACGGAGGTCTTCCCGCTTTGCCTGCCCTCACTGCGCCAAGGTGTGCAAGACGGCGGCCGCCCTGAGCCGCCACGGGCAGAGGCACGCTGCTGAGAGGCCCGGGGGCACCCCCACACCTGTCATTGCCTACTCCAAGGGAAGCACGGCCGCCAGACCCGGGGATGTCAAGGAGGAGGCCCCCCAAGAGATGCAGGTCTCCTCATCCAGCGGGGAGGCCGGGGGCGGGGCTGCTGCCGCCGAGGAGGCTTCGGAGGCCGCCTCAGTCCAGGACCCTGTCATCTCGGGGGGTGAGGAGCTCCCCGCAGTGGCAGGAGGGGGCGCCTATGCATACCCACCTGTGCAGGAGTTCCCACTGGCTCTGATTGGAAGTGGCCGGGAGCCAGGCAGTGGTAGGGGAAAGGGTGGTGGTGAGGGGCCGGTGGGGGCTGGGGAGGGGGACCGAATGGAAGGGATAGGAGCTGCCAAAGTCACCTTCTACCCCGAGCCCTACCCCCTCGTCTATGGCCCCCAGCTCCTTGCTGCCTACCCTTACAACTTCAGCAACCTGGCTGCCCTCCCAGTGGCTCTTAACATGGTCCTGCCTGATGAGAAGGGCGGAGGGGCCCTTCCTTTCCTACCGGGGGTCTTCGGCTACGCAGTCAATCCTCAAGCAGTACCCCCCGCACCCCCCACACCGCCTCCCCCAACTCTTCCTCCACCGGTCCCCCCTAAGGGGGAAGGGGAGTGGGCAGGGATTGAAGGAACCCAGAAGGGAGATGTGGGGTGAGCTCTGGGCCCAGATTCCCCCTTTCACCAGATGCCACCCGCCCTGCACCCCGCCACTACCAGCTCCCTGGCCTCCTTGCCCCTCGGGAGCCCCTCCACACTCTTGTGCAGGGACTTGGGGGGCCCCGGAGCTCAGGAGTCAGGCTGCTTTGTGTGAGATTGTAGTTTTCCTATCTCCTGGGAAGGGATCTTCGGTGGTTCCCCTCTCAGTTCTCCTCCAGGGAATGACCTCCGTGAGGGGCAGGGCCAGCTCCCATCCCCTTGGCCAGCCCTTGGGGCAACTGAGCAATATACTTACATGACTCTACTCACGGCCCCCACCAGCTCTGAATGTCTGATTCACCCCCCATTCATACACCTAGGGGGAAACCATCTCTCTTACCTAACGATCCTCCCTCCTGAAGCTTTCTCTAAGCCCTTGCCCAGATGCTTCCTAGCACATTCCATTCTTGGCCCAGGGCCTGGACCAGACCATTGTGATACCTGACACCCACCCACAGGGGAGCTTGGCTTTGGATTCTGTTCTTCCGACGGTGGATTTCTGTGTCCCTTTTTCCTTCACGTTCAGAGGCCATGCCTTCCTTGGCTTCCATGCCTTTGGATCTTCCATGTTCCTCCTCAGACTCCCAGACCCTGGAGATGGCCTCTCCCAGGCCAGGTCAAGGCGGTGTTGGGGAGGAGGGCTACCCATCTGTTCCTTTCCCAGCCCAGGGCAGCACCAATCTTGGTTCTATCTTGACCCCCAAATCCAGTGAGGCCCAGATTCTTCCAAGGCGAAAAAGATGAGTAGTTCACATCTCTTTCTGCCTCTACATATGGCCTCTTCTGGGCTAAACCAGATTTGGGGGCTAGGAGGGAGGACCTCCATAGGGGATGGGGAAGGGAATCTACTTTTTCCCTGTGTTCTTGTTTTGTTTTTTTTCCCTTCTTTTTTTTTCTTCCTGATGGTTTCTCCCAGACTAGACCAAATAGCCAGAAAAATAATGGGGGTTGGATGGGCGGGTAAGCTCAAGATTTGCACATGACCTCCCATCCTTACCTTCACCCCATCTTCCCCAGTACCACTTCCCTCACCAATCACTCCAGATGGTTTTGGGGAAACCATACTATTCCCTCGGTGGACTTTTGGGGTATCCCCACCAATTTCCCCTCCAAAATAGCACCTTATACCCCATCTTTGATTCAATTCCCCACACCCAAAGATCCCAGCCTAGGATGGGGTTCAGGGACCTCACAGAGTCCCTAATCCCTAATTTGCACTAGTTAACCCTGGTCAGGGTCCCTCTGCTTCCTTCCAGTGGGTTGTTGGAGAAACATTTGCTCCTAATTCTCTGATAACATGGCCTCCCCACGCTGTGATTGGATGAGCATTTCCCATCTAACCCACCTCACCCAAAAAAAAACAGCTCACAAGGGGAGAGCCAGTCCTGGGGAGCAAATTTGAAAAATGGGAATTAGAGGAGTGTGGTTTTAGGAAGGGGGGAAGTTGCCATTATCGAAGTGGCAGCCTTTTTCCCAGCTACTGTTTTCTGAGGCCAAGATGGCTGCCCTCTCAGAACACGTTGAAAGGGCAAGATCATGGCTTTTAGAGGGAGGTGAACTTGGGGGAAGGGTCAGGAGCACCCTCCTGCCGCCTCTTTCCCTCCCAGACTACACAAAGGGGGAGGTCCTTGCCAGGCCCCCTGAATGTTAACCATGGAGGGGTATCGCTCCTTCACTACTCCTCTGTCTCTTTGCACTTTTCTTGGTCTTGGCCACAGTCCGAGTGAAGAGTTTTCCTACTGAATGTACCAAGTTCCAATTTTTATGGGAGAAAAAAACCCCACATTTTTAAACAGGGAAAAATGCAAAAAAAAAAAAAAATCACTAAAACGTTCCCACAAATCTTGTTTCTGGCACTTTAGAAGAACTGCGAAAAAAGTACATAATAAAGAGTACATATATATCTATATCTACACACAGATTATATATATATATACACACACAGCGGAACCACAAGAGAGACTGAGGAAGGCCTCAGAGGCAGGGGCCAGATGGGATGACAGTCCCCTTGTGTCCTTCACCTGAACCACTGAGGCAAAAAGGCACAGGAGATGGAAGGGGTTGAGGATGAGCCAGGGAATTTTGGTTTCTGCAGGTCAAAAAATCTAAACCCATTTAGGGAGAACTGAGGTTGTAGGCATTTTTTTTTTTTTTTTTAAATATGATTTAGGGAAAAGTTTCCAGAATTTAGTCATTCTGGGCAACAAAGGGGAGTGTGGCAACATGGCGATGAAAAGACGTGGGGAACTTGAATATTGTGAATTTCAGATGTTGGGAGTTTGGGGTTTTGCGATTTCATCTTTTGAAAAGTATCGTCTTGTCAGTTTGTGCCCGTTCCTCACGTCCCCTGGGTAGAAGGGTGGTGGTGGAGTAGGAAGGCCACTGGTTCTGTGCCACAGCACGCGAGACTTAGAATTCTGCAGACTAGTTCTATATGTAGTGAGGACCCAGATTTAGAGAAATTGACCAATATTTATCTCCGCATTTGTGTGTGTGTCCAACTCTCTAGGCCAATAAACCAACAAGACAAACAAACTGTGCTCCGCAGTGGGATGCCAGGTGCGATTCTTTGTGCGGTTGGTGGGGCTGGCTGGACAGGGACATGCTGGCCTCGTCCCACAGGGATCCTGGGGAGCTGTAGCCGTTCTCCTGTTAGGACAGCAGCCGAGTAGGCGTGAGGTGCGTCACTGTAGCAGCAGCCTACGAGGCTCCAGCTGACTGTGGTCTCACCTCCAGGCAGAAACATTCAACTCAGTTCAGTTCACACAACCTGCTGGGCACAAGGTCCTCATGTCCCAGAAAGGCACTGCCTTCAATCAGGTGTAACCCTTTCTCCAAATTGAAAGGAAACAGGCCCAAAATATGGGATGACTGTGAGAGACATAACCACCTTTCTTTTTTCCGGTCCTCCCATTGGCTTCAACTCCTGTCCCCCGTGCCCTCCCTGTACTTTGTCTAGTGTCACAGAGGGATGGGTAAGTAAAATGAGTGAAGCTGGTCAGGTGGGCGGGAGCTTTGAGGAACTGATCAGAGTGGGCAACCACTATGAGCTCTAGCAGGTTGCTGCCAACAGGGGAATCAGGCCCGGTGTTACTATAAGTTTTTTAACCATTTTTCAAGAGGAGCCAGAAATCCAAGTTTCTCTGTGAAATACCCAAATTTTAAAATTAGCTAACTAATCCAAATTTACAATTATTCAGGCCAAGCCTTAGCTGCTTTGGCTCAGTGGATAGAGCATTGGCCTGGGGACCAAAGGGTTCCGGATTCAATTCCAGTCAAGGGCACGGACCTTGGTTGCAGGCTCCCCGCCCCCCAGGCCCCGGCCTTGGTTGGGGGCCTGTGCACAGGAGGCAATCAGTTGTGTTTCGCTAACATTGACATTTCTCTCTGTCATTCCCTCTCTCTTCCACTCTCTCTAAAAATCAATGGAAAAATATCCTCGGGTGAGAATAAAAAAAAAAAAAGAATTATTCAAGCCAATACCATGGGCCAAACAAGACACAAGTTCACAACCTCTGATACACATTACATAGTGCTTTTGTTCCCATCTATAATAATAAAAGCATAATAAGCTAATCAGACCAGCGTCCTTCAGGATGACCTTCTGGATGAGGCTGGGGCTGTGCCAGGGAGAAGGAAGGCCTACTCTTGCATGAATTTTGCGTATCAGACCTCTATTCTCCTATGATCCTTAGAGTAAGGGGCAGATGCTATTATTAGCTCCACTGTAAGATTTAGAAACTTAGAGCAGTTTAGTAGCTTGTCCAAAGTTAAAGCACCAAAGCTGGAACTGGAAGATTTTTTTTTAATATATTTTATTGATTTTGTACAGAGAGGAAGGGAGAGAGACAGAGAGAAACATCGATGAGAGAGAGTCATCGATCAGCTGCCTCCTGCACACCCCCTACTGGGGATATGCCCGCAACCAAGGTACATGCCCTTGGCCAGAATCGAACCCGGGACCCTTCAGTCCCCAAGCCGACGTTCTATCCATTGAGCCAAACTGGTCTCGGCTGGAAGATTTTTTTTAAGTGCACTTTTTCTCATTACAAATACACCCTTTTAGAAATAACCTTTTCCCCGCTTATCTTAAAGATAATACTTATTTCAAAACATATTACATTACAGAATGCTAAAAACAAAAATGACCACTAGTCCCAACATGCAAATGTAAGTGCTACTAATTGTTGTATTTCCTTCCAGAAAAAAAGTTTCCTATTTATTCAACAACTGTTAAGCAGGACATGTGCTAGGTGCTGGGATCCAAGACACAGTTCCTGCACTCATAAGGCTTACAGTCTCCTTTTTTGTTCCTTTTTACTGGAACCCTGGGTGTTGATAGTCAAAGGAGTTTCTTTAAGAAGCCAAAGGGTAAATAAGCTGATAGTGCATCTCTGGTGGGCTCAAGGCTTCCGTATGCCCAGTCTCACTTGGGTTTTCCCTGGAAACAAAACGACATGACTGGATCCCTAGGGAAGGAGCTAAGAGGCAGGAAGGGATAGGACCAAACTCTCAACTCAGCTGGCCGAGGACTTGGGTCTGGGCTCTAGGTCCTAAGGAAAGGGGTCGGGCGGGGGCAAGTGGTATGTGGCGTCCAGGAAGATGACGAGGGTCCCGACACTCGTGCAGATGATGAAGGTCCACAGGAAGAGGCGGTCCACTACCATGGCCACAAACTGCCAGTCTTCCTTCAACTGGGGGTAAGCAGAGAAAACTGTCCCTGAGCCCCGGGGAGGGCCGCCCCCCAGGTCCCTGCACCCGACCTGGTCCTCCTACAGCAGCTCTGAGAGAGGGGCAGGCTGCGAAAGCGCCGATTGGTGACAGCGAAGAACCAGTGGGATTTAAAGAAAAGAAAAAAAGAACCAGTCGGAAAGCAGGAGGCGGGGCCAAGTGAGGAAAGCTTCCAATCGGAAATAAAAACGTCTTAGAGGCGGAGCCTGCGCTTGTGGGTGGAGCCGAGGCTTTGCCTGTCCCACCCTGGCTGGACTCACCGCGTCGTGGTCCTCCTGCTCCTGCAGCTGCCGGGCGATGTAACTGATGGAGGAGACGACCTCCCGCAACTCGGCGGGCAGGCCCGCGGCCCGGCTGGGGCCATCGATAAATCGCCGTAGATCCAGGGCAGACAATTCAGGCTGGAACCTGGAGGAGGCGGGATCGCTGGGTCGGGTTCCCGGTGCCAAGACATAGGCTGCGTCCTGGCTCCAGCCCCCGCCGCAGCATCCTGCCCCTTTCCCACCGCTCTTAGGCTCCCCCGGTCGGCGGCAGGACTTCGCCAGCCGCCCCTAATTCCTCCCCATCTCCATGGCGTAGTTGCCACCTTCCAGCAAAGGGGGCAGCAGGAGGGACACTACAACTCCCGTGATGCTCAGCATCTTTGGGGAGCTCAGACCGCCCGCCCCCGCACAGTCTTCTGGAAATTGTAGTTCCCCCTCTCTGAGCAGGCTCTACCTGTTGGGTTTGGGGAAGAGAAAATCATTCGGTGGCTTCCGGATGAAGTATTCATCTGTTCCCCGACCCCAGCCACTTCCCGGAGGCTCCCTGAGGGCTACAGGAGGTGGCTCCGGCTTCTGGTCTCTCTCAGATTTGGGCCTCTTCAGTCCCAGGTACAGAGGGAGCTTGTGGATAAAGATCTGCAGAGTGGAAGAAGAGGCGTGTTGGAGGGGGCTCTCATGCTTTTCGACCAAAAGGGAAACAGCCAGCCACCCCCACACCACATGCCCGTTTCTAAGCATGTGCGCATATGTGCCCCAGAGCTACACAGACAGGGAAATGCAACCGCACAGCCTTCCGAATTCTCGAGTGGACTGGAGCAATCCTGACTGGAGAGGAAGGTTAGGAGGCTTCTACCCTGAGAGTACCTAACCCTGAGAATGTGTCCCTGGGACCCGAAGGGCTGTATTGATGATGAGAGTATGGGACCTATGAAATGGTATAGAAGGGTAAATTTAATGGTGCAATGTTTGGACACCCAGCAGGCCTGTGAAAGGGAAGGCTGAAGTGATAGGAGGGAAAAGTCATACTTGGACAAAACGCCAAATACTAAGATTAAGAGTTCATACGAGCTAGAGGGGGAATTTTCTTACCTGACGGACCCAAAGGGGCATCTGGTGGGTGTGAGGTGAGCGATGGTGCAGGTTAAGAACAACAACGCTAAGGATGACTGAGAAGGTGACGAGGACCATGGTAAACATGAGGTACTTAATAATGATGGGGACAGCCAGCGAGGTCTCAGGCACTTTGTCTGCCAGCAGCAGCAGGAACACAGTAAGAGTCAGCAGGGCAAAGATTGAGAGCCCCATCTTCTCTCCTTGGGGGGCAGAGAGGAAGGCAGAAGAATTAGGCTTTGCCAGAAGACAATCCCATGGCATAATTGGTGACCGTGTTTCCAGCCCACTCAAGGACAGACTTTTGGAAGGACCAACTGCATACAAATGATTCCTTCATTTATACTTCCAGCCTGGATTTATTCTCATAAACTTATTCACCTGCCAACTTAACCTCTCCGCTTGGATGTCCAGACATCTCAAACTTAACACGTCTAAAACCCAACTCCCTCATCACCAACTCCTCCCACAGTCTTCCCCATTTCATAAATAATAACTTCATCTTTCCTGTGGCTCAGGCCAAAACCCCTTCAGTCATTCTCAGCTCTCTTCTCTCTCTCATCCCACATCTGATCCACAGCAAATCCTAATGGCTCTATTTTCAGAATAAATCCTGAAACTGATGGCTTATCACATCCACCCCTAACACTCATGGAGTATAAACCACCACCATTACCTCAGGTCTGAGTTATCATAAAGACCTTCTCTTTGCTTTATCCTTTGCTCCTCCCTTTCTATGTTCTAAAGAGAGCAGCCAAATTGATCTTTTTTTAATTAAATAATTTTTATTGACTTTTAGAGAAAGAGGAAAGGAGTGAGAAAGAGAAAAACATTGACTAGCTGCCTTCTGTACACCCCCTACTGGGGATGGAGCCCACAGCCTGGACATGTGTTCTGACCTGGAATCGAGCCAGCAATCTTTGGGTGCACAAGATGATGCCCAACCAACTGAGCAGCATTGGCCAGTTAAAATGTAAATCAGGCCCTGCTCGCATGGCAGCGTGGCTCAGTGGTTGAGTGTCAACCTATAAACCAGGAGGTCACAGTTTGATTAATATGTTACACAGATTAACTGAATTCTAACCTTTACAACAACGCTGAGGTAAGTACTGATTATAGCAAGTGCTCAAAAATAGCAAAAACAACACCACCGGTTACCTAGAATTTACTGGGTATCCTCAAAATAATGCTATTCTGTAGGAAAAACCCTTGTCCTCATTTCTAGATTAAGAAACTGGAGACACATGGAGAAGAAGGAATTCGCACAAGGTTATTCTTACTACACTATGCTGCCGCCTAGAGAAAGGTTGGCTGTTACTGCCAAGAGAAATAGGAGGTTAAGAGACTAGTAGGCAGCCCAGTGGGCGTGGCTCAGTGGTTGAACGTTGACCTATGAAACATGAAGTCATGTCTCTCTCTCCCTCTCCCTTCCTCTCTGAAATCAATTTAAAAAAATTTTTTTTCTTTTTTTTTTTTTTAAAGAGTAGTAGCCCAGGAACAAGAGGTCACTGGTTAGATTTCTCATCAGGGCCCACTCCTGGGTTGCAGGCTCAATCCCCAGTAGGGGGCATGCAGGAGGCAGCCGATCCATGATGTTTCTTTCCCTCTATCCTCCCTTCCCCTCTCTATCTAAAAATAAAGATATATTAAAAAAAAAAAAAAAAGGAGAGAGAGAGAGAGAGAGAGAGAGCCCTAGCTGGTTTGGCTCAGTGAATAGAGCATCAGCCTGTGGACTGAAAGGTCCCAGGTTCTATTCCAGTCAAGGGCACATGCTTGTGTTGCGACTGGACCCCCAGGAGGGGGCATGCAAGAGGCAGCCGTTCAATGATTCTTTTTTTTTTTTTTTTTTTAATATATTTTTATTGATTATTCACAGAGAGGAAGGGAGAGGGATAGAGAGTTAGAAACATTGATGAGAGATAGACATCGATCAGCTGCATCCTGCACACCCCCTATTAGGGATGTGCCCACAACCAAGGTACATGCCCTTGACTGGAATCAAACTCGGGACTCTTCAGTCTGCAGGCTGACGCTCTATCCATTGAGCCAAACCGGCTTTGGCCAATGATTCTTATCATTAATGTTTCTAATATCTCTCTCCCCGTCCCATTCTTTCTGAAATCAATAAAAAAAAATATTTAAAGAAATAAAAAGAGAGAGGGGGAGAGAAACTAGTAGGTGTCTAAAAAGTGAAGGAAGGAGGATACAAAGAATGAGGACAGGGAAAAGGAGAGTTGTCTAAGTCTGGGAGGTTGTTGGCCAGAGGGGTAGAGGTTTCCAGGATGAGATACCAGCATTCTGAGTATTCAGGATTTATGGGTGAAAAGCAGTGAGCAGCAGAAGACAGACAGAGCCTGAGGCTGGAGGAAAAATCTGGATCCAGAAAAAAAGGCTCTGGTTGAAGAAAACCTGAGTGAGATCGCTGAAGCACAGTCCGTGGTGGCTTGACTCGACAGAAAAACCTTGCCTGGATTAAAGGTGGAGAGGAAGCCAAAGCCGGTTTGGCTCAGTGGTAGAACGTCGGTCCCAGGTTCGATTCTGGTCAAGGGAATGTACATTGGTTGTGGGCACATCCCCGATGGAGGGTGTGCAGGAGGCAGCTGGTTGATGTTTCTCTCTCATCGATAGCCTTTATCTCTCTCCCTTCCTCTCTGCTAAAAATCAATAAAATATATTAAAAATAAATAAATAAAAATAAAGGTGGAGAGGAAGAAGCTGAGCTACTGCTAAAAATGAGGCTGGGCCTGACCAGTGTGGCTCAGTGGTTGAGTGTCAACCCTGAACCAAGAGGGCGAGGTTCCATTCCAGTCAGGGCACATACCTGGGTTTTGGGCTCGATCCCCAGTAGGGGGCGTGCAGGAGAAAGCTGGTCAACGATTCTCTCTCATCATTGATGATTCTATCCCCCTATCCCTCTCCCTTCCTCTCTCGGAAATCAATACACACACACACACACACACACACACACACACACACACACACCAAACAACAACCCAGTGCTGAGCTGCTTCTTCCTCACCTGCGTCTGGCGGCAGGTAGAAGACGAAGATGGCCAGGAGAGTAATGAGGATGCAGGGCGCAATGACATTGACCAGGTAGAAGAGAGGCTTCCGGCGAATGATGAGGTAGAAGGTGACTTCTTCATGCTGTCCTTCCCCCGACCCCCTGGGATCCACTGGAGGCTGGATGAGCCGAGAGGGCTTGTGGATGATCTCCCATTGGCTATTCTCTTGGTGAAGGGGAAGAAGAACGGGAGAAGGGGACACCGATGTGGGACCTGGTCCTTGTTGGTGCGGAGGTGGCTGGCTCTACCACATTCCAGAGCAGAGGAGGCTGATGTGATGAGGGGCTCGCTGTGACCACTGGGCTGGACAGCCCAGCATTAATAAACTGAAGTCTTAATTTCCATATTTGCAAAATGTAGACAGTCATACCTCTCTTGCTGACACCACAGGTTTGTATGGGCATGGGGGATGGACTATACTTATCAGCCTGTTAGAAACTTCCATAAAAGCCATGGAAGTGGGAGCCAGGCCCACTCACCTATGAAGGTCCCTTCATGAATGTACACTTCCTGCCGGTCCTGCCCATCTGGACCTGCGCCAGTGTGCAGGCTGACCTCGGAGCTGTCGTAGCTATAGGAACGGAATACCATGGTGCAGTTCTGCCAGTCAAAGGGAAAGTAGGTGACCTGCATGGAAGGAAGAGTCACTAGAGCTGGCAGAGACCTGGTCAGTGCTGGGGGAGTTAGGGAGATCACAGGGCAGATAGGGGTCGTGGAATATGGAGCACCAGGAAGTTGAGGGCCAGGAGAGGTCACAGGGAAGTGGGGGTCACAAAGGAATTGGAAGGTTATTAGGGGAGGCATGGGCCCTGGAGGGGAGTTACTGAGGAGGACTGGAAGTCAGTGAAAGGAAGCACTGAAACAATGGAAAATCAGGAGAAATGTGAGGGTCATCATGGCGGAGGGGTACGGGTCAGGAGAACTGAGGAGAGGGAGGGTTTCTAGGAGCGCCCTGAGTCCCCGGGTGGGGCCCAGGGACCTGGATGCTGCAGCTGCTGCGGTAGTTGCCAGGGGGCTGCCAGCGCACGGAGCCATCAGAGGCCACCACGACGTTAATGTCCAGCGCGACGCCAAAATTCCCGTCGTTGCTGCGGGAGGAATCTGCTCAGGTGAGATCAGGCCCCGCCCACCGGTGCCCCCCCCAGGGGCCTCGCCCACCCCAGTCTTGGAAAGACCCTACTTGTTCAGCAGCACCACGTCCGGGAGCCACACGGATGCAGCGGTGATGCGGAGCAAATCGATGCCTTCGTAGTCGGCGGGGTCCCAGCTCAGCCTGTAGTCCTTCCACTCCTAGGAAAGCAGAGGCCCGGGGGGCGGAGGGGCTGCGGCTGGGAGGGGACTTGGAGGATCCGAAGGAAGCGCGGTGAGGGTCGGGGTGGGGGCAGCGGGGGTGGGTGGAGCGGGGGGGGGGGAAGGGGGGGCGGAGATCCTGGAGGCCGCGAGTTCTGGTTCTGGCTCCACCTGCACCGGCTCGGACTCCAGCAGCTAATTCCCCTCCCTCGCAACGGGGCCCAATGTTTTAGTCTATAACTACCAAGACGCTGCACTGGGTATCCTCTAGTCTAAAAGGGTGGTTTTCAAACTGCAGTTGGAAAGCCGTTAGTGGGTCAGGAGTCAAATTAAGGGCCCCACCTGGAGCAGCAGCAGCCAAGTCCAGAGCAACTAGGTCGGGAGCGGCAGTGACCAGACCCGGAGCAGCTGGTTGTGGAATGAACCAGAGCAACAGAGGCCAGGCCCTGAGCAGCCAGGCCCAGAACAGCTCGCTCCTTGCCGGTCCCTGCCCCACGGCTGCTTCTCAGACATGGCTGGAAACTTTCGTGGGAACTTGAGGGTCTGCTGAATCAAGTGATGAAGGCTTAGATCTGGATGTGTTGAGTTAGTTTAGGACTGGGGTGTTGATCTGTGAGTGCCTTGGGTGGGGCCTGGATGAGGCTGGTTGACCTAGTGGGAAATGTCTTTTGTGTGAAGTGTATCATTGGGCATGTGGAGGTATTATTGATATGAGAAAATGCTAAGTAACTGATTTACTATCTGAAAAGGGATTTACTATTGGGGAAATTGAGGGAAGAAGAGACTGAACATAAACTGCACCTATGGATGAGGACAATGGGGGATGGGGGGGGATGGAGGGTGGGGTGGGAACCTGGTGGAGGGGGGAAGAAATGAGGAACCTTTGTAATAATATGAACAATAAAGATTGATTAAAAAAAAAAAAAAAAAAAAAAAAAAAAAAAAAAAAAAACAAATTAAGGGCCCCAAAATAGTTTTTTAAAAAAATTAGAATGAGCCCTAGCTGGTTTTGCTCAATGGATAGAGCGTCAGCCTGCGGACTGAAAGGTCCCGGTTCGATTCCGACCAAGGGCACATGCCTGGGTTGCGGGCTCGATCCCCAGTGGGGGGCGTGCAGCAGGCAGCCAATCAATGACTCTCTTTCATTATTGATGTTTCTATATCTCCCTCTCCCTTCCTCTCTGAAATCAATAATATATATATATATTTATATATATATATATATATTAATAGAATGAAAAAAAGCATGAAGTACAATTCCTGCAATAAAGATGGCATTGTTTCCCGACCCTTATGTTTCCGTTATACATGTGTGGTTTTTTTTTTAGTTCATGGTTTAAAAAATTATTTTTGACTGGGCCGGACATTCGAGGACATTTGTAAAGGCGGCGGGACACCATTTCCCATCCCGGGGGTCCTCCGTACCAGGTCTAAGTACACCTTTGTGGTCATCTCCTCGTCCTTCTCGTTCTAAAAAGGAAACGTGTAAAAGGTAGAGGTGATATAAGTGGAGATAAGGGAGGGGGTACGGCGGGTCTAGCTCTCCCTGGAAACTCCCCGCCCCCCCCCCTTTTTTTTTTCTGAGTCCCACCCTCTTGGGCCCAAGCCCCGCCTCTACCTCCCAAACTTCCTGCGGTCTGAGCTGTCAGTCAATGCCTCCCCCGGAGGGCCCACCCACAGCTCCCGACCCTGCATCCCCGCCCGCTGCTGCTGATTGACGGATCCAGCCCCAAGCCCCGCCCCCGCCTGGGACCGGCCTCCAGGCCCGCCTCCCGCCAGCCCATCCGCCCCAGTTCCCTTCATGTGCGTCCAAAGGCGGGTCCGTCACCGTCCCGGCTCTGCCCCTCCGGCAGTCACGGCAGTTTGGACCCGGTCTCTGCCCGCGACCCGTCCATCTCTCGGCCTCGGCCCGCCCCCGGGCCCTCGGTCCGGCCCCGCCGGTGGCCCGCCCCGGCCCGCGCCCAGCCTGACCTCCGCGTCCTCACCAGGCTGATGAGCTGCGCCAGCCGGAGGCCGACGCTGACCCCGACGCGCTCCCCGAGCTCCCGCGCCGGCCGCACCGAGCTGTCGTAGCCCGAGAAAAGTTTCTCCCGGAGCCGGCCCTCTGCCTCCGAGCCGCGGGCGCCTGGACGAGAGCGCCGATGAAGCCGTGGTGCCCGGCCGTGACCTCTGGCCCGTCCCCGGCCCTGGGAAGCCCAGACTTACCCGGGGCGAACGGCGCCCCCAGAGCCCCCAGCAGCAGCAGCAGCAGCGCCCCTGCGGCCATGGCCCGGCCGGCCGCGGTCAGGGAGTCCGCTCAGTGAGCACCGGGAGGGCCAGCGCAGGGGAAGTGACGAGGCGCCCGAGAATGTGCACCTGTTGTTGGGGGGCAGCCGCCAGCCCACCCGCCCCGCCCCGCCCCTGGGACTTGATCCCGCCCTGAGCAACTGCCAGTGCCCGCCACCCACTGATCACAGACAACACATCCGTTGTACAAATCTTCTTTATGTGGGAATGCAGGGAGTGGAACCTGGTCCCCTGGGAACAGAGCCAGGACACGGGCAGGGCCTGGACGGGGTCTCTGTGGGTAAGGGAAGCATCAACCCCTCTAGCAACAAGCTAGAAGTAGAAAGAGCCTGAGGAAAAGCGACCTGCCTCTCCCGCCCTCCCCGAGGGCCTCCTCAGTCCTCCCTGCCCAGAGCCCACCCCCTAATTCACTGGTAGGTTCCTGATCTTTTCCAGGCCTGCCCCCAGCTCTCCGTGGTTTTGGTTTTTGTTTTTTTTTTTTTCCTCCAGAAGAATCTAGTCAGGCTCTTTTTAGGTACCTAAAACACAGCTGAGGTTATAAGCTGTAAAGTAAAGCAAGTTCTATTCAGTTAGAAGCTCTGGGGTTACATGAGGTCTGCAACCCAAGAGAGGCCCTCACCCTCCTTGGCCCGACTTAGGGGAGCGTGGTGGGACTTATTGCTGAATTGGGGTATCTTCCGTGGGATGGTGAAGTCTATATAATGATTTTTATTATCATCGGGGTGACACTCGTTAACAAAATTATACAGGTTTCAGGTGCACGATTCTACATCATCTGGATACTGTAGGTCTATGTCATAGCTGTTCTTTTTATTCTAGACCCATCACCCTAATGCCCTCAGCGTTGGAAGGGATCTGGAAGGAGGTAGCAAAGTGTTCATGTCCCCCAAACCCAGGCACAGGTCCAATTACGTCATGATTTCCCCCATCCTAGCTCCCCCACGAGCCAGGCTTTCCTTTTAGAACTCCTCAGCCCTTCTTCAGATTTATTTCCCTGGCCCCCAGCTGAACTAAACTCCTCGTAAAAATAAGGTTGGCATTCTCTAGGAGGAAGAGTATGATTTTTAGAAAATTATCTTAAGTAAAACAAGAAGTAGCTCTTAATTCATCCAGGACTTAGTTCTTTTTGAATAACAGTTGGGTCCTTTCCAGAACTCATCCTTACTAGATTTCACTAGAGAATGGGTCTAGGACTTACTCTAGAGTAATAAGATGGCTGTATAGGCCCCAGTTCCATCCTGGAGGGGAGGGTGGGGAGTCGTGGTCTAGTAGTCTAGAGCTGAGATTCAGAAGGAAGTATGGCTCCAATATGTGTCCAGAACACCATGCTCTAGTATTGGGTGTCTCTGGGATTAAAAAAAAAAAAAAAAAAAAAAAAGTTAAACCTGTAGTAATCTGAGACTGGCCCCAATTCAGGCCAAGGCCAAGAGCTGGACAGGCTCACATCCTGCTCTCTGCGTGGAAGCCCGAGGTCTGTCTGGGTTGAGGAAGCCAGTGGACCCAGCACAGAGCCTCAGTGCAGAAATGGCCCTGCTGAGGTGCCTGGTGTCGCAGAACCTGTTCAGAACAAGGCAGCAGGTGGAGTTGGGAAAGGACACTCATCCTGAGCTCCGGGAGATCTATAAATCCATGTCTCCGAGGCCACGAAGGGGGCTCCAGGAGCTGGCTGAACCTGGGGAGGGGAGTACCGCAGTCCTGTTCTGTTTGGAATCCCCGGTGCCATCTTAGGAAAAGGCTTTGCGGGGGGGTGTACGTGTGGGAGGAAGGAAGTGATCAGCCAGGACCGTTTTCAAATATCCACCTCTAAGGCCCAAGCATCTCAGGTTTGCAGTGGTTCCTCGGCTCCCTCAGGGAAGAGCACCTGGTGGGACCTGGCTGCTCAGGGCGTAAGGATGGCAGCTGGGGTGAGAGCAGGTCCGGGAGCAGGGCTGGGAGACAGGCTGTGGCGGTGGCTAGACCAGTGCAAGGGCAGGAGAGTCCAGTCCAGGGTCTACACTTCAAGGGGCAGGAGGACTGGAAGGAGAAGCCTCAGGGACACTGTGGAGAGAAGGCTCCCGGTACATGGCCACTGTGAAAGGGAGAGAGAGGAGCAGGAAGGAGAATTAGGCACAGAGAGATCTAGGCAGAATCAGACCTCTGAAAAGGCTCCCTTCCCCTATATTCATCCTCTGAGAACCTCAAGCCCATAGAAGGAGAACTCCCCAAACCCCCAAAGGCCAAAGCCTTCCTGGCTTGGTCCTCCTCACACTTGTAGCCCCTGAGATGCATGTCCATGTCAAGGTCAATACCCTCTCACGCCGAGACCAGTTTGGCTCAGTGGATAGAGCGTTGGCCTGCGGACTGAAAGGTCCCAGGTTTGATTCCGGTCAAAGGGCATGTACCTTGGTTGTGGGCACATCCCCAGTGGGGAGTGTGCAAGAGGCAGCTGGTCGGTGACTCTCTCTCATCGATGTTTCTAACTCTCTATCCTTCTCTCTTCCTCTCTGTAAAAAAACAATAAAATATATTTTTTTAAAAAATACCTCCTACATGGCCCCTATTTTCTCCAGTCCATACTCACCCTCCAGAAGCTTGGGCACAAAGTGGGCAGCTGCCTTGGTCTTCTTGACCCGATTTCCCTTCATGACTCGGCCCTCTTTGTCCAAGCCTAGGTACCAGGCCCGGCCAGAACGGCACTGACGGTAGAGAGCAGAGGCGTACAGGACATAGTAATTCTCAAAGACACACTCCTTAAAGCGACACTCAGCTGTGAAATGTTGCTGAGGAGACAGAGACCCAGGAAGGCACACACAGACAGAGAGACAGAGAGACACATCACTGGATGGAAGGGAGCACTGGGAAGAACAAGCCAGAGTATAACCCGTACATTCCAGGCTGGGAGGGCCACCTTCTGATCCATGTGGGGAGTGGGAGAGAGCAGGGACAAGGAAGAGTCTGGTAGGCCCCTGTGGGTTGGAAACTAGACTCTGGAATGAGAAGATATCTTCTCTCCACTCTCTTCCCAGCCCCTGACCAGTCCCGGTCCTGAACGACTCTGGGGCGGGGAGTAATAATGAAGCCTGGATGGGGTGGGATGAGGAATAGGGGCCCTAAAAGGCTGGAAGAGGTGGACATTTAAGAAGCCTGGGGGTATCTGGAGGGCTATGGGAGAGTAGGGTTAGAGGGACCCAAGAGATGCTTTGGAGCGGGGGCAGTGATGTGAGCGGGAGCCCTGACTGGAAAAGGGCTGTAGTTGAGAAAGCTGTAGCTGGGGACTCCACACCCCAAGCCACTCAGCCCCGCCGTCTCACCGAGCTGTAGAGCAGCCCCTCGGCATTCATGGCCATGTAGTGACCCAGCTTGGCACTCTGGATGGTGACCACTCGGAGCCCCACGGGGATCAGATTAAAGTGGGCTGGGGAGGGAGAGAGGAGGAATCAGTACCCCAGGTCTTGAACCCCTATTTGAGCTCCCCCCCACCCCCCATTCTAACTTCACTTCCTCCCTTGGGAGTCAAAGAGGCAGGCTGAAAACAACAGAAACCCAGCGGGAATGGGACTGCCCTAGTCTCCTGGCCCCACTCTCCCCCTTCCCGCCCCGGCGGCTTCCCTCTCACTGAAAGAGCTGGTGTCCTCCGGGGTTCCCTGGATGCTCCCGTCGGGGTTTGCCTGGAGGTAGAAGCCCTGGCGGCAGAACAGTTTGGTGACGACGCCTCTGAGTTGAGGCTCTAGAGAAAGAGACATTAATCTTTAGAAATGACATCTCTGTTCCCAGAAACATTCCCACACTCGGTGGGATCAGAGGAGAAAAGAGAAGGGAGAGTGGAGGGAAGGAAGAGAGGACCTACGGCCCCAACTTTCTGACCCTCCAGGAAAGCTCTCTCTCACCTCTCCTGGATTCCGGAGGATGCTGAGGTGTGTGTTCCTTCTGCTTCCTCTAACCTTAGCCAGCTTTCAGTTTAATTTATTGAAATTTATTGAAATGGATTAATTCCTACTCTACAGCTCACCCAGAAGAGGGGAGGAGGAAGGGGAGAAATATATCAAAAAGCTAGAGGGAGACAGGCAGGGCTGCTAAAGTGCCATTGTGTCTGCAAATGTGGGGGGGCAGCAAGGTGACCACAGGATAGGGGCGCCCTCAAGAGCGGAGGTGGGTCTGGGCCTGACGCTGACTCAGCACCTGCTGCTGCTGCTGCTCGCTTGGCACGGGCCTCGCCTTGGCCCAGCGCCGGCCAGGCTGACACTGACCCACTGTCTATACCTGCCAGTCCACTGGCTCGGGGGCCCAGGTCTCCCTGAGGCTCAGCCTTTCCCCTTCAGCCAGGTAACCCGTCTGGGGTGGGGGACGTTGGGTACCAAACCTAGGAAATGGGGGAGGGGCGGGGAGGAGGCGAGGCAGGTTGGGTCACGTGGCGCCCGGGTCCCCTCTAAGGGTGGGCTGCGGACCGTACCATGCGGCGGGCCGGCGGCGGGGGGGGGAGGGCCGAGGGCGGAGAGGGCTCACCCTATCGGAGCCGGGAGCGGGCGGGAGCAGGGCCAGAGGGACTCCCCGCCTGTGGCACCTGGACGGGGACCGCACGCTGACCTGCACAGCTCTCCACGCCGGTCGCTCGCTCTCGGACGACTTCCGCGTACCCCCTCCCCTCGTAGGTGGTACGACCCCCGGTCTGCATGCGGGTCTAACCCCCCCCCCCTCCAGCCCCGGGCTGTGTCTGAGCTCCTGGCAGCAGAGGGTCCCCTGCGCTCGCGGGGCCCGGTCTCGGAGTCCCGTGGAGGGTGTTGGGGGGAACCCAGCTCCGCTCTGGAAGCTCAGGTCCAGGGAGGAGGGCGCGCAGAGGGGCGGCTTGGTGAGGTGGCTGCAAGGACACCCAGGGGAGAGCCGGGGGATTGGCGCGGAGCCAGGCCAGCCCGGCCGGCCGGGAGGAGCCGCGCCAAGAAGTGGAGGCGCGGGGAGCGGGTGGGGGCGGGGCTGCCGGCGCCGCAGAAACTCTCGGGGTGACCCAGGCGTCCGGAGCCCCCAGCCCCCTCGGCTGTGGATGGAAAGGATCGCGAGAGCCTGCACGTAGGCGAAGGGCCATGGGGGTGCAGGGTGGGGAGGGGGAAGAGCGAGAGCCGCGAGATTCGGGGCGCCAGACTCAGCCCCTCCAGCCTTCCCCTTGCCCTCAAAAGCAAGGAGACTCGGGGTTACGGGCACAAGAGGAGGGAAACTGAGGCAGAGACTGGCAGAGACTTTGTGGCTCACCCCTTCTCGCTTCCCGGGAGCTCCCTCGGTCGGGCTCCATGCTTCAGAGCCCCTCATCTCCACCTCCCGGCAGAGGGACCCCAGCCCCGGGCACCCCGCCCAGCCACTCACCGGGGCCGCGGGCCAGCCGTGCGGGCCGCCCCCCGCACAGCCGCACCTTGGACAGCAGGACGAGGAGCTGCTTCTGGCAGAGGGACTTGGTGCCGCGGGGACACACGCGCCGCTGCGCCGACACCGGCCGGCTGCCCCCGGGCTCGCGGACCTCCCGCTTCTGCCGGATCAGGCTACTGGCCAGCGCCGCCATGGCGCCCCGGGAGGAGACACCCCCAAACCAGCGAGCGCTGGCTCCCCCGGAGAAGCCCGCTCACCACGGCATGCTCTGGGCTCTCCTTCCCGGCTCGGCGCCCCACCCACAGGACCTTAGGGCTGAGCCTCAGCACCCCCTACCCCCAAGCGCCAGCGCTCACCCTAGGGCCCCCTCGCTAGCTCCACTGGATCCAGAAGCCTATGGACCTCGGGTAACCCCACCCTGGACGTTTGCCCCCTGAAAGTTTAGCCCCTCCTTGCTCTCCAGCATCTCTGTCCCCACTTACCCTATCCCAAAGTCAAAACCGTCAAAATTTCCGCTATGTGGTTCCAACATCCCCAGGCATCTTTTCACGCTATTTCAGCGCCCCTGCACGCCTGCCAAATCCACTTTTATAATCTAAAGGATGTGGATCCTTCGCTTTGGGAATATTAACTCACCCCACCCCTGCTGGGGCACTGCCAGCTGTCAGGGGAGAATCCAACTTTGGTGTCTCTGCCACCCTCTAAGTGATCCCCCACTTTTCCCCACTGAAAGGCCCCCAAAGTATGTCTTGGAATATCCAGGCTGTTCCTGTTCAGTGATCAGACTCTGTCTCTAGACAATACCTCTTTTTCCCCCACCATGGCACCCCCATTTCTAGTGGCTCAGGGTTCAAATTGCCGAGCCCTTTCCCTTCCCTTGTTACCCTGCACTATGTTTGAAGTCACCTCCAAATCCACCCTTCCTGTCGGAGGGCCCTCTGTCCACCCGGATATACTAAGGGGGCAGCCGTTTGGAGGTGTTTTCCTCTGACCACCTCTTAACTTCCTCAGGAACAGCGGGGGCTGTTTAGACCCCACGCCCTCCAACCCAACCAGCCCCCCCGAGAGAGGAGTGCCCCCATGATACCAGTTCCCAAATGTGAACAGGTCCCCTACAAACCCGAGCGCATCCCTGCCACAGGGCTTCCTCCTCCTCCTCCCTGGGACTGCCTGGAGCACCCCCCTTTCCCCTGACGCCCCTCGACCTGTCCTGTCTTGTAGGTCTCGCGACGAATGGTGCCGGCTCCGGCTCCAGGCTCCTCCCTCCCTGTCCCCCGCAAACGGAGCTTCCCTCCACGCCTGGCCGGGCGCCCTGAGCCCCCCAAAGAGCGCAGAGCGCCTGGTCCGGTGAAATCGGAGCACCGGGCCTGGCGGCGGGACCCAGTGCGGCGGCGGTGGAGGTGGCAGCGGCGGCGGCGACAGCAGGAAGCTCTGGCGGCCGCGGCAACCGCAGCTCCCGCTTCTCCGGGAGCCGGCCTGGGGGCGGGGCAGGGGGCGGGGACGCCGGGAGAGGGGGGTTCAGTGGGGCCGAAGGAACCCGGGGGTTCCTTAGAGGCAGGGAGTGGGATGGTCTTAGAGGCAGGGGGAGCCGAGGCAAGGCCGCATACCTCGGGGTTCAGAGGAGGAACCAAGGTGACTCCACTGAATGGAACCCTGGATGGGAAGTGGGAGGGGGTGAGGAGGGAGATTGGGCTTAAGATCAAGGGTGATTACCCAGAGAGTGAAGGAACCCTAAGGCCCAGGGTGGGAGGACAGAACTGAATGAGGGAAGTGGGGGTAATAACTAAAGATGTTGGGGGGGAGGAGGGAAGAAGCTGAGATCTAGCCTGGGGCGAAATCCGGCCTCCTTAATATGATTGCCTTTGTGTGAAACAAATTAGTCTGTCATCTCCACACTGCTCTCCTTTCCGTGTGTTGTCAAGAAATATATACCCCCCCCCCTCTTGCCTCTCCCACCCTCCTATAGACTCCCCAAAGACCGTGAGAACTGGGGGGAGATAGTTGCCAGGCTGTACTAGGGCACGAGGGATGCTGGCCACAGATTTGGGAGAGCCGAGAAGCCAGACTGGTCAGACCTTTCCCCGGGATGGAGCGCGAGGCGAGTGGAATGACGGCAAGGAACCGCAGGGATGCCTTCTAGAACGGAATTTTGGGTCCAGGGTGCTAAGTGTCTCCCACGTGCGGGGCTTTCCATGCTGGTAGGAGTCCTTCGTGGGCCCCGCCTCCCACCCCGGCCAAGCCGCCCCCCTTGCGCGCGGTCTTGGCCTCCTCCACGGTGGCGCCCAGGGCGCGGGCAGGGTCCGCACGGAGCCGGGCCAGCGCCGCCAGCAGCGCCGCCGCGCGGTCGCCGGCCCAGAGCTTCCGGCCGCTCAGGAAATAGTGGGGCAGAGTCCCGGCCTCGAGCGCGCGGCTCAGCTGGTCCAGCAGCCCCAGGCAGCAGGCGCCCGCGTTCTCCGGCCGCGCCAGGTACAGCGCGGGCAGCCGCTCGCACGCCCAGTAGAGCAGCGTCCGCAGGAGGTAGGGCGCCGCGGCGCGGGTCCCGGCCACCAGGGGGCGCAGCAGCGCCTGGGCCGCCGCGTGCGCCTGCAGCAGCGGAGCGGGGACGAGAGCCTTGAGCGCCAGCTCCTGGCGGGCGAAGCACAGCTGCCAGCCGGAAGCGCCCGGCCGCTCCGCGCCCCCGCCCGGCACCAGGTAGAAGGAGGGCGCCTCGGAGGCCAGCGGGCCGGCCCACGAGTGGCTCCGGGCCCCCTCGGGCCAGCCGTTCACAGACACCACGGGGATCAGGTCGAAAAGCAGCAGGCGGCGTGGGGGCCCTGGGGTAGCCAGGAGGATGGTGGTGAACCCCGCGTGGCGGGCCGCGTGGACCAAGAGCGGGGCGCCGGGGACCGGGACCAGGGACCCGGCGACCTCGGCCAGCGCGGCGAAGAACCACGCCGCCACCTTGGCGGGGCACAGCGTGGGCCACGCCCCCGGGGCCTCCGACGGCGGGGCGGCCGGGCCGTCCGCGGCTGCTTCAGTGACGTCACCGTTCGGTTTGCTCGCGGAGGCGGGGACGCCAAGGTCAGCTGCATCCGGCCCAGGCGACTCGGGCCCCGGACGGTCACTAGGCGATTTTCCCAAAGACACGTGCAGGCCAGGCTCGGTGACGTCACCGGGCGGGCGGTCCCCGGGGCTTTGGGGATCCCTGGGACCGTGTTCGCTTTCGGCTCGGTGCACCGGTTCACGTCCTCCTGGGACTGGGGGTCCCAGGCAGTCCTGCCAGGCCTTTCGCACCGGGGTTCCGCGCATCAGCTCTGGGAGGCGGAGCCAGGCAGAAGAGGATTCCGTGTCCAGGTGCAGCTCCTGCCCAGCGCCCTCCAGAGAAAACACCGGCACCAGGAGTGTGAAGCCGGCGTCGTAGTGAGGCCCCCGGGCATAGGGGCCCAGGGGCGCAGGCCCCAGATCCACAGAGCCCTCGCGGATCCCGCCACGGAGCAGCAAGAGCTCCGCTTGGGGAGGAAAGCGGGGGTCTCGGCGGTGCACCAGACCTGCGGGGAGAGAACGGGCTGTGACACGCAGCTCCGGGGCGGGGCGGGGCGGGGCTGCGCGCTGCTGGAGCCGGGAGGTCTACTTACCCAGCAGAGCAAAGACAAAGTCCTTGGCCCGCAGGAGGTCTGGGCCGGTCTTGGGCCCGTCTCTCCAGCTCTCCTGCACTCCCAGCTCCTGGATCAGCTGGGTCAGTTCCTGGAGCTGCGCTCCGGAGCAGAAATCGATGTCGGTGAGCGGGCGGGCTGGGGCTGGGGGCGGCGGGCCCCACCAGGGGCCACTCCCCCAGACCACGGAAGCCATTCGGCTCTACGGTTTAGGGGAAAACACAGACGAGAGGAAGCCTAGACCGGCCAAAGAGTCACCTCCGCTCTTCTCTCTTTCCGAGGCCGAGAGGGTGCCTCACACCAAGCGCGCCAGGGGGTCTGCAGATAAAGGGCTGTGAGTTTAGTCTTGAAAACGAGCAAATAAAGACCTCCTCTGTCCTTGCCCTTTCTCACAATCTGGGCCCCGCCCCCATGGACCGGTGCACCTCACTCAGCCCCTCCTCCAGAATGTGATAGCCCTCCGCCGCCCCTGCCCACCACCCCTTACCTCTTTATTTCCCCCCGGAAAAGGCTTCAGGTCTGCGGCTTCCCTCTAAGGGGTAACTGCAGGAGTTGGGAAGAGAATGGCTAGAACAACCCAACAGGTAACTTCTTCCTGCTGCCGCAAGGCCACGCCCTGGCGTCCCAGCCTCGCCCCTTTCCAGAAGCCTGCAGGTGGCTCCGGCCCGGCCCCGCCCCTGTCTGCAGGCCTTTCGCTGTTTCAGATCTCGCGCTGTCCCGGGAGCTGCAGTCTGTGTTTCGTGTTACCGAGCCGGGAGGCTACGCCCCCACATCCTTTCCTGTTCCTCCGAAGGGCCTGGTTGAAGTTGTAGTTTCTATGGAGATACACTGTTTTGTTTCCAAGCCCAGGTCAGCCCCACACAAACACTCCTTGGAGTTGGAGCAGAAGGGTAATAGGACATATCTGAATAGCAAACAATAGTGATGGGCATACCTCAGGGCCTGGGGAGAAATAGGGGCCTCTGTGTATATCCCATGTGAGTAGAGGAGCCCTGGTTATTTAGGTCTAGAAGGGTCCTTCCATGTAATTATAACTTCATTTTAGAGATGAGACCAAGGTCAGAGCTGAGCAGGAGCCGTGTTAGGAAGGAACTCCCTTTGGAGTCGGGGGAAGTGGTGTTAGGAACACTCGGGTGGTGAACCAGGAATGGACTTCTGACTCAGGGAAGGGACATATCAATGATACCCACCTCAGTACACATGTGTGGTGATGGGAAGAACTCTTGGGAATCTCATCCCTGGTGTGTACGCAGAAGAGTTATCAGGACTGAAAATCAAATCCAGAGGAAACTCCCCGTTGGGCGAGGGCAGAGCAAAGGGAAATTACGGGGAAGAAAATTGTTTTCAGTTACCAGTGCTTTCAGGGACAGAGCTTAAGTCCAGGATGACAAGGGAGCCAGAATAATGGGACAGACTTTAGTTAGGAAACCATGGACAGGCTTACAGATCAGACCTCTCCATTGCTGGGTTCGCTCTGGACCAGGACTTCTTACAGACCCTTTTCCCTGGGGACTATCTATGGGCAAGAGAATGAAACGGAAACACCTAGAAAAACTAGAGGCCTGTACAGGAAGGGACTCTCAGAATCCGGAGCTCAATTTGGGAAGCCCAGGTCTCAGGCGCCCTGGTCACTAGACAGAGAGAGCTCTTGTCTCTCAGCAACTCAGCCCCAAACACCGCCCAGAACTGGGGAGGCAGGTTTCCACACATCTGGTTGTGACCCAAGAAACCAGATCAGGAAAACCGAAGACTGGGCTCTCCCTCACAGTCCTGGGTAATCAGGCATCTGGCATCCTGCATCTTACCTCCTCCCCAGAGGCGGCTCTGAACTCCCGTTCTCTGGGCTCTGTGGGAGTTTTGAAGAAGCTGGGGATGGGTGGCAGGGAAAAGAAAGTTCCCCTAAACTCTAAAGCATTACTGCCTACTAGGGTTTCCCGTAATGATGAAAATGTTCTAAATCTGTGCTGTCCAATATCGTAGCCACCAGCTACCCATGTCTGTGAGCACTTGACATGTAAATAATGAAACAAAGAAACGGAATTTTAAATTTTATTTAATTTTAATTCATTTACCTTTCAAAAGCCATGGGTCGCTAATGGCTAGTGTGTTGGAAAATGCAGCTCTGGGGCCTTGGGGATCATGGGTTTAGCTCTGCAGCTATGGGGGAGAAGGGGCGAGTACAGTTCCAGCCCTCATCAGGCCCTGAGAGGGGCCAGTGTCAGCCATGGGGCTGGGCTCATCACAGAGCGTTTCTCTCGCCCCTTTATTCCTAATGCACCCTTGTCCCCTCTTTTTCCGAGGGCCTCATGACACACTGATATCCCCACTCGGTGTTCTCCAGTGAGTTGCCGGATGCCTGTTGGCGAAGGCGCCTGGGAGATAGAGCTTCACGCTTGTCTCTGCCCACGCCGCAAGGCCTCTGGCGGGCATCGAAGACCACGTGCCCTACCCGGGCGCTTGCCCCAGGACAGTGAGTCTTCAAGCTGGGTTTTGGAGGCATAGGCATCTGGTGGTAGTTCTGGCAGGCTGGAGGAACTGTATCCACAGGGCGGTACACCCAGTCTTGGCCACCTACTCGGTGGGAGGATGGTTGTAACTCAATCAATACGGGCACCTCTGAGAAGGTTTGCAGGTCACTGTAGACCACCTGGGCCTTGGAAGGGCAGGCGTACTGGCTGGCAGGGTCAGGAGTCCATGGGGGATGCTGCTCCGCGTTCTTCTGAGGAGTCTCCTCATACACGAATGACTTCAAGGGCTGTGAGGACTTTGGAGTCTGAGACGGACCCAAGACTTGGGCAGAGTTGGTACCTGGAGCCAGGCCTGGGTTCTTGTGCAAGTCAGGATTTGGGATGAGGCTTGATTCCTTGGTAAGGCCGTGAGTCCCGAGGAAGCCAGCATCTTGGATAACACGCGGGCCCTTCTGTGGGCCAGAATCTTGTTGAATCCCTGCGTACCTGTGGAAGTTAGGGTTTGGAGTGTGTTCTGGGTTCCTGTACATGCCAACATCTTGGGTAAGGCCACATCTCTTTTTTGCTTCATTGGCTTGGGTAAGGCCTGGATTCACACAGGGGTCACAAACTTTAGTCAGGCCTACATTTCTGTAGTCTCCCGAGTCTTTGGTGAGGCCTGAGCCCTTATGGAGGCCACAGGTTTGGGCAAGGCCTGGGTTTTTGTAGAGACCAGATTCCTGGCCTGAGCTCTTGTTTACTTCAGAGTCTTTGGCAAGGCATGGCCCCTTCTGTGGGCCAGAATCTTGGGTAAGGCCTAGACTCCTAGCGACTCTCTGATCTTGGGCATGCGCTGTACTCTTGTAACCTCCAGAATCTTGAGGAAGGCCTGGGCTGTTATGGACGCCAGTTGTTTGGGAGAGATCTTGATTTTTGCATGATACAGTCTCTTGCACAAAGCCCGAGTTCCTCTGAATGTCAGGATTTTGGAGAAATGCTTTGTTCTTATGGAGGCCAGAGGGTTGGGTGAGATATGGGCTCCTAAAAACACCTACATTTTGAGGCGGACCAAGGCACTTTTCAGGGCCAGACTCTTGGGGAACTGGATTCTTGTGAATGCCAGGGTCTTGGGAAGGGCCTGAACTCTTGCAGAGATGAGGATGTTGGGTAAGGTTTGGCATCTTTTTTAGGCCTGGATCTTGACCAGGGCCTGGGTTCTTGGGAACTTTAGAGTCCTTTGAAGGGCCTGGGGTTCTTTGGAGGCCAGAGTCTTGGGTGAGGCCTAGACTCTCATGAAGTTCAGAAGATTGGGGTTGGATTGGGGGTTGGGAAATGATGGAGAACTGGGAAGGGATGGGAAACTGGGAAGAGAGTATGGAGACTGGGGGTCCGGTGGGGATTTGTGTTGAGGTGGAGGGCTTCACCTGGTGGTTGGTGGGTTGTTGAAGAATAAAGGATCTGGGAGAAACAAGAGGAAGAGAAAGAGTGTATGGTGGAGGCACAGTACACCTTGAGTTCTGGACGCTGCCGGTGGGAGAGTGAAAGCAAGGTTGAGAAGGTGAGTCGTCCTTGGAGTAGACCAGGAATTTGGGATAGGCTGGAGGCTGGGAGTCTGTGTTTCTCCTCTCAGAATTGCAAGGATGGAAGCTGCAGTAAGGGAAGGTCTTGGGCTGTAAGACCTTGTCTTTGGCATCATTTGAGTCATTCCATCCCATATTCTCCGACTTCAGGCAACCTACTGTGGATCCTGTGGGGGTGTTGGCAGTATCCCCACTAAGTTGCTTCAATGTTTGCTCGGCTTTACTAGAGTTTACCAGTCTCTGCCTGTCCTGGGGCCTGGCGAAGGTACCCAAGTCCCTTCTGGAGTACCCAGTGTTCTGGGTGGGACACCCATAGAATAAGTTCTTCTTTGCCATGGGGGCAGCATAGAACACATGGCCAGCGGAGGGGTCTTGATTGAAGGCAGCCAGGGCAGAGGGAGTAGGAGTTAGGCTGTAGGTAGGGGTGGGGGGAGGGGTATGAGTAGGAACTGGAGTGGTAGTTGGGGCCATGACCAGTGCTGGGGCAAGGTTTGAAGCAAATTTTGGAACAGGGGCTGGGGCAGGTGTAGCAGCAAGGGAAGAAGTTAGAGGAGGGTCTGGGGCAGAGGTTGGGGGAGGGACCAACTTGTGGGCATGGGTATAGGTTGGATGAGCAGGGTTGCTGGTTGGGGTGGGGACTGTTAGGTGCTCAAGCATGTAGTCCAGGGACTGGCCAAAGGCATCCAAGGAAAGCTTGGCTGGGTCCTGGGCCAGGGTGTGGGCTGAGGTATGCTCAGGGCCATGGACCTGGGTGCCAGTGTGCTCAGGGGTGCAGACTATGGAGTAGACCTGGGCCTGGGCAGGGGTGTGCTCAGAAGGGTGGGCTGGGGGGCGGACCTGGGCCTGGGAGGGGGTGTTCTCAGAGGGGTGCACTGGGGGGCGGATCTGGGCCTGGATGAGGATGTGCTCAGAGGGGTGGGCTGGGGGGCGGGTCTGGGCCTTGGTGGGGTTGTGCTCACAGGGCTGCACTGGGGGGCGGATCTGGGCCTGGATGAGGATGTGCTCAGAGGGGTGGGCTGGGGGGCGGGTCTGGGCCTGGGTGGGGTTGTGCTCACAGGGCTGCACTGGGGGGCAGGTCTGGGCCTCTGTGGGGTTGTGCTCAGGGGGTTGGGCTGGGGGGCGGGTCTGGGCCTGGGTGGGGTTGTGCTCACAGGGGTGCACTGGGGGGCGGGTCTGGGCCTCGGTGGGGTTGTGCTCAGGGGGTTGGGCTGGGGGGCAGGTCTGGGCCTCGGTGGGGTTGTGCTCAGGGGGTTGGGCTGGGGGGCAGGTCTGGGCCTGGGTGGGGTTGTGCTCAGGGGGTTGGGCTGGGGGGCAGGTCTGGGCCTGGGTGGGGGTGTGCTCACAGGGGTGCACTGGGGGGCGGGTCTGGGCCTGGGTAGGGGTGTGCTCAGGGTGTCGGGGTGGAGGGTGGGTCCATGTCTTGGCTGGAGCATAATCTGGGGTCTTAGTCTTATTCCCTTGGGGCAAGCAGAGTGGAACCATATTTAACTTGCTCATCCTGGGGAACGGGGAAGATGTCCCTTGCCTGGAGAGATAGGTGTCTTGGGCCTTTGTGGCTGTGATGTGAGGGGCCTCCCTCGCTCCCTTCATGCCCTCCCTCCACAGTCCCCGTAGAGTCTCTATGGGAGCCCTGGCATGTCCGTACTGAGGCTTTATCCAGTAGCACCTAAATTCCTTCTCATCATTCGTATCTGGTGTGCAGGAGTCAGGCTGGTTAGGGTTCCTGAGCAGGAGGCTTGGACAGCGATGGAAGCGGGAAGGGACTCGTAAGCAGAGGTTCTTGGAATCCACAGAGTAGCGCATCCCCGTGGGCTGGTTGCCTATGGAGTTGGGTTGCTTGTCTGCAGGGAAAGGTGGGATAAGACAAAGCCCGAGTTCCTGAACGACTGGACGTGGTGAGGGGGCTAGAGGAAAGGGGGCAGGGCCAGTCCTCTGGGGTCCATGCCGGGGACCACTCACTCACCTTTGGGGAAAAAATGATGGAAAAGAATCCGCAAGGAGCTCTTCAGATGCCTCCAGAGCTGAGGAAGCAGGGGCGGGGAGAGTCCAGAAGTAAGGTGAGCCTTGACATCCAACCCTAGCTAGGCCACATCCCAGCAGCCCTCTCACCTCCCCCCTCCCACCTCGGACCCTAGGGCTTCCCCACCCTGATGCCCAGGCCCCTCCCTGACCAGAGTCACCACATTGATCCCCACGTTGAGCAAGATGAAGCTGCCCAGAATCAGAAGAATTGAGTCTCCTAGGTCCTGGCACTTCCTGGAGTTGGTGCCAGAGCACACTGGGGCTCCGTGGTGGGCTTGCTCACCCATGACCGGGGGTCCCAGGACTACCTGGGCCCCCTGGCCCCCACATACTCACTAGGAGCCAGACTCTTCTGGTGGGGGAGGGGGAGAACTGGGTCATAATGGAACGGGAGGTCACAATGAAGCGGGAGGAGGAGAAGGAAGGCCAGTGTCATTCCCTGGTAACGATTTGTGTAACCTGCGCCTAGTCAGTCAAGTAGTGCCCAGAAGCCAACCTCCCCGCCCCCATCTCACCCTCATTTCCCCCTCATTGCCTACTGACCTACTCATTCAAACACTCACAGCATCTCATCCCCTGGACACTTCTTTTTTTTTTTTTTTTTTTTAATATATTTTATTGATTTTGTACAGAGAGGAAGGGAGAGAGATAGAGAGATAGAAACATCGATGGGAGAGTGTCATCGATCAGCTGCCTCTTGCACACCCCCTACTGGGGATATGCCCACAACCAAGGTACATACATGCCCTTGATCGGAATCGAACCCGGGACCTTTCAGTCTCCAAGCCGACGCTCTATCCATTGAGCCAAACCGGTTTTGGCCCCTGGACACTTCTGAGACGAGGAAGACCATGGCCTCAGGGTCCTGGGCAAGGCCAGGCTGAAATGCAGAGCCTTGGCCTTCTCCCTGCCCTCTGCTAGGCTACAGGCCTGGATCTACCCCGATGTGGACCCCCCGCCCCCTGGAATCTAACCTCAGCTTTTATGTGGGGCTGGGCCTCCTACTCCCCTTTGGGGACAGAAAGCCTCACCCAGAGCAGGTGCCCAGGGACCAATGGCGTGGGGCCTGCTTTGGCAAGATCTGCTTAGGGCCCTGGTGCGGGACCAGGAGGAGGGACCTGCAGGCAGGACTGCGGCCCCCACACCACGGGGAGCCTCACGCCAAGCTCGCTGCTCCGCATTTCAGGGAGCGGAGGCAGGGGTCCAGGCTGGCAGAAGTGGCGCTCCTTCAGACCACCACAGCGTTTCCTGGACTCTGTTGCTCTTTATTCCTCTTTCAGTGCCCGGCCCCGCCGCCCACGGGTGCCCCTGGTCAGCAAAGTTTCCCGGCCCGGCTCCTGTGCAAGGAGGGCCTCGAGGCCGAGGTGGAAGGTGGCGGCAGCGAGCTGGCCCTCGCCCTGTTCTCCTGCACCTGCCGCTTCAGCTCCACGCTGTCGTACACCTGGTAGCTGGCATTGCCCCCTGGGCTCCGGCTGAGTGGCATGAAGGTGATGGGGGGCGGCTCAGGAATCTGGGCTTCAGGCAGGGCCTGCGGGTAGGAGACCTCGCCCACCAGAGTGAGGGAGGTGGTAGTGAGAGGGTGCTGGGTGGGCAGGGCCTCGGCCCATTCCGCCGCCCGGTGCCGCACCTCGTGGGGATCCCGGGAGCTGTGGCTCAGGTGTCCGGTGGATGGGTAGGGGCTGTGGCTGTAAGCGTGGCCGGGGAGGCTCCGGCGGTGGGGCTGCGGGGAGCAGTACTCCTGGGCCTCTTGCCGGGAGCTCCGGTACATCAGGGCAGACGGAGGAAGCTCACAGGCCTCCAGACCACGCCGCCGCTGGTCCCAGGAGTCACACCGCACCTGGCCCCTAGACGGGTAAGGGCTGTGCCCCGCATGGGCCCAGGAGGGGCTGGGAGGCAGCCGGTGGTGGGGAGGCGGTGGAGGCAAGGTCCACTGCCTGGTGGCCTCCACGTGGCCGCAGATGGGGGACTGGGAGTGGCGGTGCCCGTAGGGCGGCAGCCTCAGCTCTGACTTGGCCTCCACGCGCTTGGGCATGCGGCGCAGCTCGGGGGACAGGTAGATGGAGGGCGGTGGCAAGCTGGCCAGGATGCCACCCTGGCGGCCCCACAGCCTCACGTTGGAGGGCAGCCGGTGATGGTACAGCCCTCCCCAGCCCCACTGGGCGTACGTGGGACGTGGGAAGGATCGGTGGTTCTCTTCCTCCTCCAGAAAGGAGTCGGAGGCCTCCTGATAAAAAATGGGTTTGGGCCTCAGCTGTGACCGCCTGTGTCCGCGATGTGGGCCGTGGAAGTCGGTGTAGGTTGGGGGGGATTGCCCGCGGTTCTTCCGTCTCTGCGGGTAGCTGTAGGGGGAGCGGTGGCGGCGGCGGCGGCGGCGGCGGTGGTCCTGGCGCGGGCGGCGGCGGTAGCTGTGTTTGCGGGGCCGGTGATGGGAAGAGCTGGAGTAGTCAGAGGGCCAGGTCACCTTCACCTCTACAGGGTCCAGGGCGCAGTGGATGTGGATGTCTTGGGCCTTGGCTGGGGCCTCGCTGGAGGAACTTTTACAAGCCTGCAAGATTGCATCTGGGGAACGAACGCAAGAGTCCGTGAGGGAGGGTAATGGTCGGCTGGGAACACGGGGGCTTGTCTTTCTTGGGCTGTGGAGGCAGCAGGGGCGGGGGGCTGTCCCCTACCTCGTTAGCTGTCATACTTACGTTTCTGATGAATCCAGTTGACCGTCTTGTCTGAGACACACTGGAGTCCTTGCCATATCTGGGGGTGAGGTGGGGTGGGAGTGAAGGAGTGAAGACCAAACTTTCCACCAGCAACCCACCCCCCACCTCTCCCCGCCGAGATTGCTCTCGCAGGAGGAGGTCCAGGCTGAAGCTGGCTCCCGCCCTCGGCCCTCGTCACTCTTAGGGAGGGTCCACAGCCACCACTGACCACAGTTGACAGGTTGATCCCAATGTTGACAAGAATGACGAGGCCCAGCAGCAGGAACAGGAAGTCCTCAGCACCATGGGGGTTTTGTTGGTATTGATTGCAGTCCCCCAGGGTGTTATCCCAAAGCCTGTTTTCCATGGTGGGGGGGGTGGTCCTAGGGCCACCTGGGCCGCACCCCCCCACCTGCCCCGACCCACACTGCACTCATGCTAGGGCCAGCCCGGGAACCCTGGCCAGCTGCTGAGGGAGCCGGGTCATAATGAGGCACATGGGCAGGAGTCACAATGCAGAGAGGACAGCCCTTTTAGCCACCCTGCTGGCCCTTGGCTCAGTCCCCAGATATCCCAGAGTTCAATCTGTCCTTTGTCGCCATGGGAGCTTGCTTAACTTAACACCTGATTGCTGATGTGAAAATATGGTAGCTACAGCAGTGAGACGGTCTTCATAGGGATGGACTCACGTCTACTAGCATTTCATTGTTCTGAGATGATATGGCAGTTTAGGTAGCCTGTGAGTATTTCCCATCCACACTTGGTGTGGTGACAGGATGGGTGGGTGACAGCAAGCGTCCCCTCTGAAGTCACCTCACTGTACATTCGTCCTGACCATTTCCCTGTCATACCTCTAGTCCTATCCTAGCCACCCCTTTCTGGCCAGAGACTTCACCTAGGTATTGGTGGTCTCTGAGCCCAGAAGCCCCTTTGCTTCAGAGCAAGACTGATTTCCACCATGCTGGAGTTGCTGCCTCTGCCTGGGACCCCCTCCAACCAGGGAAGTGGTCCATAACCAATTGCCTTCCCACTTTAGCTACCACCTTTAGAAAACATATTAAACTCACAGAGCACAAAATAGGTGTTGATATGAAAAAGGAGGGGTTTTTTTTTTTGTTCATTTTATTTTTTAAATATATATTTTATTGATTTTTAAAATAATAAATCTTTTTTCTTCAGATTATTACAGGTGTTCCTCTTTCTCCCCTTCCCCCATAGCTCTCCTCCACCTGATTCCCTGCCCCACCCCATCCCTTACCCCCCGCCCCTGTCTTCATCCATAGGTGTAAGATTCTTGTCCAGTCTCTTCCCTCACCCCTCAGACTCCCTTCCCCCTGAGAATTGTCAGTCCACTCCCTTTCTATGTCCCTGATTCTATTATGTTCACCAGTCCATTTTGTTCTTCAGATTTTTTTATTCACTTGATTTTTAGATTCACTTGTTGGTAGGTATGTATTTTATGTCTTTTTGTTGTTCATAATTTTTACCTTTACTTTTCTTCTTCTTCTTCCTCTCCTTAAAGAATACCCTTCAGCATTTCATGTAATCCTGGTTTGGCGGTGATGAACTCCTTTAACTTTTTCTTGTCTGTGAAGCTCTTTATCTGACTTCAATTCTGAATGATAGCTTTTCTGGCTAGAGTAATCTTGGTTGTAGGTTCTTGTTGTTCATCGTTTTGAATATTTCTGACCTGCATAGTTTCTGTTGAGAAATCAGCTGACAGTCGTATGGGTACTCCCTTGTAGGTAACTAGCTGTTTTTCTCTTGCTGCTTATAAGATTCTTTGTCTTTTGCCCTTGGCATTTTAATTATGATGTGTCTTAATGTGTTCCTCTTTGGATTCCTCTTGTTTGGGGTTCTGTATGCTTCCTGAACTTGTAAGTCTATTTATTTTAGCAGGTAGGGAAAGTTTTCTATCATTATTTCTTTCAATAGTCCTTCAATATCCTGCTTGCTCTCCTCTGGCACTCCAAAAATCCCTATGTTGGTACGTTTTAAGCAGTCCTGGAGGCTCCTTACACTATCCTCACACTTTTGGATTCTTCTTTCTTTCTGCCTCTCTGGTTGGGTGATTTTTTTCTTCTTTTTATTCCAGATCTTTGGTTTGATTCTTGGGGCATGTTGATCTATATTTGAGTTTCTGTATATTCTTTATTTCAGAGATTGTATGCTTAATTTCTGACTGGTTCTTTTCCTTTTTTTGGTATTCTCTTTAAGGCCCTTGAAGGTCTCACTAAGCTTCTTGGAGGTCTCATCAAGTTTCTCAAAGGTTTTTAGAAGATTCTTGAGTAACCTTATAAATGTGATTCTGAACTCTTGTGTCGTCCAGTAGTTTACTTTCCTCCATCTCTTCCATTCGTGACATGTTTCTGTGTCTCCTCCCTGTGCTGATGGAGTGGCTTTGTGTGGTAGGTGACCTATCAGCTTCCCTAATCACCTGGGGTGGTCGCTTTTGGTATATCCCTTTGTGGGCTGAGTGCAAAGTCTTGGTGTAATTAGCCTTGTTTGCTGTTGGTACTCTGGGAGGAACTGACTCCAGGCCAATTGTCTGTGAGGACCCGCTCTGTCTATAAAGGAAGAACTGCTGCGCTGGAGACATGCTTTGTTTCAGTGGGGCTTTGGTGCTCACTGAGTCCGTCTCCCGAATGTGTCACTTATGGGTGTGAGTGGTTGAAATTGACCACTAGGAACACTGGCTTCTGGATCTCCAATGGGATTCAGTTCAGCTACTGTCTGAAGCCACCCTGCAGGAGCTACAGCGAGAACTACAGTTTTCTCCTGTTTGCTTGGGACTTGGCGGTTTTGTTGCTGGAGCTGCAGTTTATATATGGTTAAGCTGCCTCAATACAGGCTATTCATATGTAAAAGTAGCTGTGTGGTGCCTGGGAAGGTCTGTAGAATCTGGGGGCGGGGCGGGGCCTCAGGGTGGGGCGGGGTCTCAGCACGTCTCAAGGTTGGGGTGTGGCTAACAGCGATGGCTGCAGTCAAACATCCTTGCCCTTCCGTGTTTCCAAGTCTCCGCTTCCCTGCGCTCCAGTCGCCCTCACTTCGGCCCTGATGGCCGACAAGCCAGCTTCTCCCTGTAGGTGTCTGGGTCCCCCACATGACCCCAGAAACTGGATTTCAAAGTGATAGGGAGCTTGTTTCCTTTCAGGTTGAAAATAAAAGCCACACTGTGCGCCTAGTCACCCACCACCAGCCCGATTTGCGTGCTCCTCAGGCTCCTCAGCTTTTCAGCACTTGCGCTCCCCTCTCTTTCAGCCAGCCTTCCCATGGTTTTGGATGATAGATGTTCTTTGTATTAGTTTTCATTTTTTAAATTGTGGTGTGAGCGGCAGACCAGTTGTTTACCTACGCCTCCACCTTGGTTTCTTACAGAGAGGAAGGGAGAGGGACAGGGAGCTAGAAACATCGATGAGAGAGAACATCAACCACTGCCTCTTGCACACTCCCTACTGGAGATGTGCCCGCAACCAATGTACATGCCCTTAACCAGAATCGAACCTGGGACCTTTCAGTCCGCAGGCCAACGGTCTATCCACTAAGCTAAACCGGTTTCGGCCAGTTTTTATTTTTTATTTAAATCAGGTTCATCAGTGGTGTCTATGAAAGGGGTGCCCTGGGTACCATAAGTCATTTGTCAAAAGCACAATAAACTACTCAGCATTTTCCTTCAAGGCTCCAAACACAGAGTAGGTGCTCAATACACACCCACTGAATGGAATCAGCTGCAACCGATAGTGGCATTAACAGAATGAAAATGAACAGAGAAGTAGGGCGATTCACTAAAGGCCTGTCTTCTCCCATTCCAGGAGCCCATCCGTATGAAGGTGAGGGCCAGCTGCTTCAGCGTGGGTGCCTCACATGGCTTCTTATTCCCAAGCTGTGTGTGTGTGTGTGTGTGTGTGTGTGTGTGGTCCCAGCTGCTCTCCAGTGGATGGAATATTCTGAAGAGTTCACATGGCAAACCAAGGAAGGTGGGGGAGACTGATGGGCGAAGCTGACTCAGTGGCAATGAGATGCTACCTGCAGAAGCGGGGGGATGAGGCATCCGAGGCCGTGAAGTTGATCTGTGGTGTCTGTGTGACCGACCTCCCCCACTCCCACCAAAGCACCGCAAACAGCCTCCGCCCTGCCCCCACCCTGCTCGCTCGTGCTCTCGTTCTTCTCCAGTCACCTCTGTCGGGGGATGGCAGACCCAGTCCTTGTTCACCCTCAGCAGTCACTTGGCCTCTCTGAGCTTGTCTCCTCGCGTGTGACATGGAGATATGAATCAGAAGAGGGAGGTCACAACCCTTGCGAGTGTCCCCAATTTCTCATCCTCTACTCTAAGCCTGCTTAAGGATACAGGAACTTGTATTCTGATTGGGGAACTGTGAGGGCCTGGCTACCTTCACTCTCACTTATCCCTCCCCAAAGAAGCAAGGGTTGAGCCCTGACCAGTTTGTTCAGTGGTTAGTCCTGGTCAAGAGCACGTACCTTCGTTGCAGGATCCCCGGACCCCAGTAGAGGTGCATGTGGAGGCAGCCAATCAATGTGTCTCTCTCACACCGATGTTTCTCTCTCTCTCTTTCTCTTTCTCTCTCTCTCTCTCTCCCTCTCCCTCTCCCTCTCCCTCTCCCCCTCTCTCCTTTCTACTCTCTCTGGAAATCTCAGGAAAAATATCCTGGGATGAGAATTAAAAAATAAATATTTTTAAAAAAATGTTTAGCCGAAACCGGTTTGGCTCAGTGGTAGAGCGTCAGCCTGCGGACTGAAAGGTCCCAGGTTCGATTCCGGACAAGGGCATGTACCTTGGTTGCAGGCACATCCCCAGCAGGGGGTGTGCAAGAGGCAGCTGGTCGATGTTTCTCTCACATCGATGTTTCTAACTCTCTATTCTTCTCCCTTCCTCTCTGTAAAAAAAAATTAATACAATATATATATATATATATATTTTTAAAAAGGTTTAAAGATTTAAAAAAGAAGAAACAAGGGTTGAGAGGTAATCGCACCTCACTGCAGCTGTAGCCTAAACCGGGCTCTGGCAGGAGCCAGACCGCTGGGGCCCAGAGCCGGGATGGAGGTCTCCCTCCCAGTGTGGGGCTGCCTGCCTGTCTGTGTGGATTGGCGGGGCCCGTTCTGGGCGCCGGAGAGAACTGGGCAGAGGCGGATGGGAACTGTACACCCAAGAAGGCCCGGAAAAGGTCTGAGGACAGGGTTCACAGGCTGAGGCCGAGAGGTTGATGAGGGTCCTCAGGGCTCTCCAGGCCCTGTTCCCAAGGAGATCATTTCCTTAGCAACCAAGGCTCCTAGGAGCTGTGCGATCCCTAGCACAGGCCCCCCTCCCCCACCTTCCCCTTTCCCCCTCCCCCACTCCAAACCACCACACACCAGCTTCTCTCTCTTTTTTTATTCTCCTTCCAGTCGCCAGTCTATCAGGGGACGGTATGACCAGTCCTTGTTCCCCCCTTCAGCAGCGGGGTAACAGTGGGCCAGAGCCTCCACCTCCCGGGTCAGCTCCCGCAGCCGCCGCCTCACGTCTAGGGCGTCGTACACTAGGTGGCGTGAGTGGTGCTTGCTGGGGATATCTGGGACATTCGCTGGCCCCCTGATGGGAGGTGGGGCTGAGGGGTCGGTGGAGCACTGCTCCTCCCCCTCCTCGTGGCCCGCCCTCCCTCCTTTGTTCCTGTGGCGCTGTGGGCTGGGGGGCGGGGGGTTCACGGGGTACACGTAGGCCTCGAGGCTCATCTCTGACCGCATCTCTCTCTTGAGGGGTGATCCCTCTACGTCCTGCTGGAAGCGGATGCCCGGGGTATGCATCCCTGCAGTGTTCTGGGCACAGGGGTCCCAGTACCCCTGGGTGGACTGGCAGTCGTCCCAGTCCGAGGGGTGATGCCAGTTGTGGGAGCAGATCGCCGCGTGCTGGTGAGGGAGCCTCTCCTCCTCATCGGTGTCCCAGGCTGGGTGGTGGGCACGGCGTGCTGACCTGCCGCGACGGCGCTGGCGGCGAGCGGGCCGGGGGGTCACGGTCATTTTCACGGGGTCCATGGTGCATCGAAGATGGACTGCAGGGGAGCACTGCTGGGTCTTCTTTCTAGGTGAGGATGACTTAGAAGCTTCTGTGGACAGGGAGAGGGGAGAGGCTGCGGGGGACTCTGGGTCCTACAGGGGCAGACAGCAGGGTTCGGGGCGAGAAGCTGCACGGCTATGGCATCTGAGACGGGAGACTGGGAGGGGATGGGGCCAGCTGAGGGTCAAGGGCGAGAACTCTGGGTATCTGCCCCTCCCCTGCCCTAACCCCTCAGGCCCAGCTTACCTCTTGCAGAAATAATACTGCAGAACAGTTGGTGTAAGAAGCAACGGAGTCTGCGCCAGAGCTGGGGGAAGGGCACAGTGACCCCAGGAAGTCCCTGGCCACCAGGCCTGCCCCAGCCAGCCTGCCAGCACCCTCCCACCCAGCCCTGCCCTCACCAGCGTCACCATGTTGATGCAAATGTTCATGCAGATGATGAGGCCCAGCAGCAACAGGATAGAGTTGCCCAGGTCCTGGCAGTTGTTGGTGTTGGGGCTGTGGTATGAGGCGCACCTGGGCCATGGCGGCTCAGCCACAGCCATGGGGGTCCCTAGGACCACCGGGGCCCCTAGACCCCCAACCCACTGTGCCACCGTGGCCAGCTGCCCGCCTGCCTGACCCAGAGGCTCCTGGGGGTCAGCGGGTCACAATGATGCTGGGGCTCTCCCTCACAATGTGCCAAGAGGGGGCGCCCTGGGGCCAGGAGTAACCCTCCAGCCTGGGCCCAGACCCTGCAGAAGCCATGCCCTCCCCTTGCCCGCCTCTCCTGTGGCCGGCTACCCGGACCAGCGAACTAGGCCCTGCAGCCTGGTGGTGTCTGCGCCCATCAGCCCATTTGGTCCTTTTCTGCACCCAGCTCAGTCCTCTGCAGACACGGGTCCTAATCTTTTTTTTTTTAAATCCTCACCTGAGGATATGTTGAGAGACAGAGAAAGTACACACCAGGCTCAGGGATCAAACCCACAACTTGGCTGTGTGACCAGGAATCAAACCTGAAACCTTTTGGTATGTGGAACATACTAATGCTCCAACTAACTGAGCCACCGGGCCAGGGTGGGTCCTCATCTTACCTCCCTAAATAGCCCCATTACCATGGCAACCTTACTCGGCACCCACTCCCCTTCAGTGAACAGGCCTCAGCTAGTCACTGGGAAGGGCTGTGGGGACACACCTCCCGCATCAGCAGGCACATCCCCAAGGCTGGTTTCTTCAACCACCCTGTCCCCGACCCCTAGCATCACAGCAGGCACCAGCAACAGTTAAACTTTATATTTACAATATTCTCTTCATCTTTTGCCAGGTTTAAAAATGTGTACAGAGCTGCGAAGGGCAGGGACACGGGGTTGTCAGGGAACTGTTCTGGGGGGAGGGATTGGGCATTGGAGTCCGTGGCTGAATCATGGGGTCCCCCAGCCCCTCTCTCCCATGCCCCAGTTTGTGAGACATCTGTCTATCAGGTTCAGGGCCCAGGGCCCTGGCATGTAGAGGGCATGGCTGTTTGGAAAGGAACTGGACCAGGCAGGGGGAGGGAGAAGGGGTGGTCAAGAGGCAAAATGCTGGGGAGCCAAGACCAGGGATTCCGGATCCGGATGTCGGCGGAAGACAGCACCCCAGCCCCAACTCAAGTTTGGCACTAGCAGCCCACCACATGCCAGCAGACAAGGATTCTCTCCGCCACTGGTGTCCCTCAAAACCCTTCCTGACCAGGCTCCTTTCCCTGCAGGCTCAGGTCCCCTCTGGGCGGCCACCTTACACATGTCCTTTCAAATCCCTCCGCCGGTGTCGGACCAAGACCTGGCCTCTATAGCCCCCTCCATCTGGTTCTCCGCGAGCTGACCTCCTTCTCTCCCCAACCATGAAGACTTCCTCCCTGGCTCTCCTCCCCTCACCCTCCACGGCTCCTTTCCTCCAGCCCTGGCAGCTGAGGGGAGAGGGGGCAGGTCACACAAAGGGAATGGGCAGCTGAGGGGACGGGCTGGCTTGACACCGAGACACAGGGATGGCTTCAAAGAGGGAGGAAGAGGTGTGGGAAGAGGAAACGGAGGCACAGGGGGAGGGATGAGGCACAGAGGAACGAGGATACAAGAGAGACACAGGTAGGACCCTATAGCTGCCACTTCCCCCTCCTGTATCCCACCTGCTCCCACATGTACCTGCTCTGGCCTAGGACTGGGGAGTCCTTGGCAAACCCACCTACCCAGTTTGGCACAGATGAGTAACGGTCTGAGGACTGAGGGAAAGGCTGTCCCCAGACCCCAGTGAGGGCTTTGGTCAAACATGCACGGCCTCTAGGGGAGGCAGGTCTCCCGCCCCTGACCCCTACCCCGCGTCTCCGGGGGAGGGAGGAGCAGGGCTCTCCCCTCAGGGTTTATGCACCCCCCTCAGCTTCTGTCAGTCCGAAGCCTGTTCCCACCTGCTGTGTGAGGAGGAACTAGGTGCTGGGCCTGAGGCCTGGGGGAGGCAGGGAGGTACTGGAGAGAAGGGGCCATCTGCATGGGAAAACACACATCCACATGCAAGAACATGTTTCCACTCAGAGCGTGCCCGGACCTCCCGCCCCTGCAGGGACTGTGGCTGTGGAAGGCGAGGCCTCCCTAGGAGCCCATGCTCCACTGACTTGTGCCGCGGGGAGGGGGACACATGCTTCCCCAGGGCGGGGTGCGGCGTGGGAAGGGGCTGGTTTCCTTGCTGCTTCCCAGAACCCCCCCATGTTGTCCTGCGGCCGAGGGTCACTGCACATGAACACACCACTTCCGGGGCCTCCGCGGGGTGGGGGTGGGGGAGAGAGGGGTGGGAGAAGGCAGGAGGGAGTATGGTTCTGGGGTACAAATCCCCGCAGAAATTCTCTGAGAGGGCCAGCATGTGTCCAGGGCGGCAAAAAAAACCTCACCCTGCACATGGGAAAACACCCCCGTGAGAAAGCACGCCGCCAGCGGGAGGACCCCCACTCCGCACACCGAGGGCCGGCGCCCCGGGGGAGGGGACAGAGCGCCCTCCAGGTGTCCAAGGCCCAGGTCCGAGGAGAGAGGGGCCTCTGGCCGTGGGAGAGCCGCATCCCGGCGAGGAGACCCACGTCCGCCCAGCGCGCCTCCACGTGGGACGAGGAGAGCCTGTTCCGGGGCCTCCTCCCGCCGGCAGGTGGCACTTCCGGCCGGTGGCACTTCCGGCCGGTGGCACTTCCGGCCGGCGGGAGGGCGGGAGGAGCCCCCCGCTGTGCCCTATACGCGGGTGGTGGAGTGGGGATGGGGCAGCGTGTTGTTGTGGCCGGCGGCGGCGGGGGGCGGCGGGGGGAAGGGCCCGAACGGGTGCATGGCGGGCGGCGGCGGGGGCGGCGGCGGTCCCAGGCCACTGGGCAGCAGGGTCAGCGCCCCGGGGGCCAGGAGAGGCACATCGTCTGGCGCCCGGCGCAGGGCCAGGGTGTAGTCGGGCGGGCAGGCGGGGCGGAGGGCCTCGGCAGGGTCTGCCCCGACGCCGCCGCCCCGTTTCAGCTGCAGCGACACCAGCTCCTCTTCCGGGGGCAGCTCCCGGCCCGTGGTGGGGAGCAGGGGGCCCCCACCGGGCACCCCGGAGCCCGACCCCCCGGGGGGGCTGAGCCGCCGGCACCGCAGCTCCTGCCTCCGGTCCCGCTTGTAGTACAGGGCGGCGAAGGCCAGGATGTTGAGGAAGAGCAGCGAGGCGCCCACGGCCACGGTGACGCTCAGCTCCGTGGAGTAGTCCCGGGAGTCCCCGGGCAGGCGGTCGTAGGCCCGGGGGCCCGGCTCCAGCTCGGGCTCGGGCGGCGGCGTGGCCGGCGACGGGGGCCGGCGCGTGCCCGGGGCGCCGGGCGGCGGGCGGGGCGGCCAGCGCGTGGCGTAGGGCGGCAGGCGCGTGGTGGTGGTGGTGATCTCCATGTGCAGGTTGTGCAGGTGGGGCACCAGCTCCAGCCAGAAGGCCACCTTGTTGGCACGGTAGTTGTCACGCACCCGCGGCTTCAGGCCGATGTGCAGGTACTGCTTCTCCTTGCTGTTGAACTTGCTCCACACCACCTCCTCGAAGCGGTTGGGCTTGGTGTGGATGAACTTGGTGTCCTGCGGCACCGGCTGGTTGGGGTCGCTGTGGGCACAGGAGGGCGGGGAAAGGAGGAGTGAGGGTGAGGCACCGACCGTGTGGGAAGGTGGGGGAGGACTGGGGAGGGAGACAGAGATGCCTAGAGCCAGGGGGACAGAGGAAAGTCAGAGAAAAAGAGAGGCAAGGATGGATACGAAGAGAGAGAAATTGCCAGAGACACAGACAGACAAAGAGGGAAGGAGACAGACTGCTAGAGACAGAGACAAGGACAGAGGGACAGAGATAAGCAGAGAGGGAGAAACAGCCAGTGAGAGAGGCAGAGGCTGAGACAGAAACAGAGACAGAGACGTGTAGAAACAGGAAGACAAAGACACATGAAAGACAGCCAGGGTGAAATGAGCAACAAGAAGCAAACGGGTCAAAGGGAGAGGGAGAGACAGCTGAGACTGGTTTGCTCAGTTGATAGAGCATCGGCCTGTGGACTTAAAGGTCCTAGGTTCGATTCCGGTCAGGGGCATGTGGCATGGTTGCGGGCACATCGGCAGTGGGGGGTGTGCAGGAGGCAGCTGATCGATGTCTCTCTCTCATCGATGTTTCTAACTCTCTATCCCTCTCCTTTTTTCTCTGTAAAAAAAAAAAATCAATGAAATATATTAAAAAAAAAAAAAAAGTTAGAGATAGCTGAAACCGGTTTGGCTCAGTAGATAGAGCTTTAGCCTGCGGACTGAAGGGTCCCAGGTTCAATTCCAGTCAAGGGCGTTTACCTTGGTTGTGGGCACATGTGCAGGAGGCAGCTGATCAATGTTTCTCACAGATATTTCTCTCTATCCCTCTCTCTCTCTCTCTCTCTCTGTAAAAAATCAATAACATTTTTTAAAAAAGAGTGAGAGATGTAGAGACAGCAATAAAGAGACAGACAGACACAAACACTCATGCACACTCCTACACAGATGGGAGCAGTCCGAGGGCAGAGCCTGGGAGGAGAGAGAGAGAGGGTGACCAGACAAAGGAGGGCTCAAGAGACAGACAGGGAGCCAAAGCCACCAAGTGAGCCCACCCCGGAAGGGACAGGGCCTCTCCGTTTAACTGCTGACTCTCCAACATGCCACTCAGTGCCTGGCACAGAGCGGGCGGCCGGCAGGTGTCTGGGTTGAAGAGGCAAGGGCGCCCGTTACGGGTGGCCCGGCGAGGGGGTGAGAGGGAGGAGGACCGGAGGCGGAGGTGCGCGCCCTGGCCTGCGTGGAGCCCCGCCCAGCCCCTCTGGCCCTCACCCAGTCTTGGCGAAGTTGGTCCAGTAGGTCATGACCACGGCGCTGAGCATGACATCGTTCTTAGAGAAATTGCAGGGGAAGAGGTCGGTGGCGCCCACCATGGGCACACCGAAGACGTAGGGGAGCTCGTCCCCGTGCGCGGCGTCCGCCCACTCGGGCCGGCCCTCGGCCTGGCAGTGGTGGTAGAAGGTGTAAAAGTAGACGGGGGACTGGTAGTCGGCATGCAGCTTGGCGGTGGCCACGGCCGGCGCCACCCACTGGTGATCGGTAAAGAGGGCCAGCAGGGTCTTGCGCCGCATCTCACCGTTGTCCCGGTCGGCCCAGTCCGTGTACATAAACTTGATGGTCTCCCGCAGCACGTCCTTGCCCTCGGGGTAGCCATACAGGTTGTCCACGAAGTTGGAGACGGTGAAGTCGAAGGCGCTGGCGGACACGCCGTCCTCGCTCTCGGCCGAGTCCTCCACGAACTTGAGGCCCTCGCCTTGGTTGACGCCGATGAGCATGTCGTAGTTCAGGAACTCCCCCTGCTGCATGAGGATCTCAGGGTCGTCAGGGACCACGTCGCCGTCCACCACGGGCCCGAAGGCGATGTGGTAGCTGGGGAGAGGGGAGGGTCTCGCTGAGCCTCGGCCCTGAAGACACCGCTCCCTCGTTAACACTCCTAGGAACCCCCAGGGCACTGGGCCTGTGTGTGTGTGTGTGGGGGGGGGGGGTCTTCTCTGGAGCCCTTTCTGGCACCCTGAGCAAACGTGGAGAAGGCTTCCGAGAGTAGAAGACAGGGCCACCACGGGAGCCTGAAGACACCTCTCCTCTGCCAAGTCAAATGCCCGCAGACCCCTCAGCCTCCCTGGAACCAGCAAGGTGAAAGCGGACCTGGCCCCGGCCCCCTCCCACCCCCGACCCCACCCCCGTACCGGGCGGGCTGCACGTCCTGGTCCACCAGCTCCCGGGACGGCTTCCGGCGCAGACACTCCACCGCCTCGGCGCTGTCCTCGCGGTCGCAGCCCACCTTGGCCGCCAGCAGCCGCGTGTACTTGAGCGGCTGGTAGTTGACAGACCAGCTGGAGATGGCCGTGCCGCTCTGGGCGATGGCCTTCTGGAACAACCCTGGGGGGACAGGCAAGCTTCAGGCTGGGTGGTGCCAACCCGAGAGAGAAGGGGGGGACCCGGCAGGTTCAGGGGTGCGGGAAGGGGGCGGGCCTGGGGGCTGAGGAGGCGGCCGGTACCTTCCGAATGGTGGGAGAGGATCAGGAGGTTGACGCAGGATGCGCCCGCCCCGGACCCGAAGATGGTGATGCGCTCGGGGTCCCCCCCGAAGTGGGCGATGTTCTCGCTGAGCCAGCGCAGGGCCTGGATCTGGTCCAGGAGCCCGTAGTTGCCTTTCGCGGCCTGGTCCCCGGTGCTGAGGAAGCCTGGGAGGGGGGGAGGCAGAGAGGGGGCTGGCTGCCTGGGGGTGTGACATGTCCTGTCCCTTATGTGGGCAGCTCAGTCCATCCCAGAAGCCGTCTCGTGCTGCCGGGTTTACAGGCCCCCACCCAGCAGGCCCCCCTCGTAGACTCCCCAGGTGGGGCTGCCCTCCCTCACCGAGCACCCCAAGCCGGTAGTTGAGCGTGGCTACGATGACGTTGCCATAGGCGGCCAGGACAGAGCCGTCGAACATGTTCCCGGTGCCCTCCATGTAGGAGCCACTGTGCAGAAACAGCATCACAGGCTTCTTCCCCGAGTCCCGGATATCTGTGGGGAAGGGGGGGGCAGGTGGGCCGGGAGCAGGGGACAAGGACACAGTGAGACCAGAAGCGGCTTCTCCCAGCTCCCAGGCCTGCTGACGACCAGCCCAGAGCTCAGGGGACATGCCATTCCCATCCCTGGGGGGCAAGACCGGATTCCCCTCCCTCCCGCCCCAGCTAGCTCTGGAGAAGGTCCTCCCCACCTCCTGCCAGCCTGCTCCACCGCACTTCTTCCGAAGCCTGGCAGGCCTTCCAGGAGGCCTAGCAGAGGCAGGGGCGGGATGTGGCCCTCCTCGGGGCATCTGGACGCAGGGGACCCTCCCCCCCCCATACACGCAGCAAATCTCCTTCCTGCGCCTGGAAGAGCGTGCCCCTACGGGTGCCCCTGGAGCTGAAGGTGCTGGGAGGTCCTGGCCTCTTCTCAGACTTAGGCCTTGGGGCTCAGCTCCACATGGTAGCCTAGTCTGTCCAAGAGGGGGTGCCAGGCCCTAGGGTCCCTGGGGGCTTGGTCTCCTCCCCGCCCTAATTCCTTTCTAGGTCACCTCCCCAGTCACCATGGCAACCCCCAGCCTAATTACTATGGCAGAAGGAGACAGGGTGGGAAAGAGCCTGCTTAATGAAGCCAGGGTGCCGCTCTCTAGTCAGGGAACCCCCTGCAAACTGGCCTGAGCCCTGGCTTCTGCACCGGCCCTCTCTCTTGTCACATCCCCAGAGGATCCCATCATCACTACTACAGGCAGGAGACTCTGAGGCACTCCAGACTGGACTGAGGAGGGGGAGTCTGAGAGGACTTACCACAGTCCTCCAGACTACATACACAGGAAGCACCCTCCCCTGCAGCCTCTTGTGACCCATCACAGCACCAGGGCCGGGAGACCCCTGGCCCACAGGCCTGCCTCTTTCTTGACACCTGCAGCCTCTGACTAGTCTGGGCACTCAAGAGCCAGGCCCGGCCTCCACAGTGGATTTTCATGGCCAGCCTCCTACATCCTGCTAGGAACTTCTTCTAGCCAGAGGGTCAACAGGTCACTAAGATACTTTCCTCCACCCCCTACAGACAGCTCCCTGCCTCCTGTCTCTTAGGACCTTCTCTGCCTGACTTTGGCCAGGAGCTCCTGGGTGGGCAGTGCCCCCTCTGGGTCCTCCCCAAATTTCCCTTTGTTCCTGAACCTCCAGTGGCCTTCCAGCAAGTTCAAGCTGGAGTCCAAGTCCTGTCCTAAATGTTCTTAGTTCCCCCCTCTTCCCCACCCAGCACCTCCACTCCCGAGTGGGGGGAGGGGGAGTCAGAAAGGAAAGAAGGGGGGCTGGGGCAACAAGAATTCAAAACCCACAACAAAAAACGGGATCAAGAAAGAAAAACAACAACCAAAAAGCAAGAAGCTCTTGGGGCAGATTCAACAACAAGAAGAAGAAAAAAAAAAAGAAAAAAAAGATCCGTTTTTTGGAAAAAAGGAAAAAAAGAAAAAAGTTCTTTGCATTTTATTTTTCAAAATTTTGTGGTGAAACTTCAAGATATTGGGCCCTGTTTTCAAAAATTTCCAAATCCTTTCATTGGCTTCAAATGTTTGCGTTTTCTTATCTGACAGGCTTTTGGAAATTGTAGCAGGTTTCTGATGTTTCAATTGTGTCATCAGTTTGCCATCTTACTTTTTTTTTTTTTCCAAATGTTTTGCTTCAAATTTAAATTGTTTTTTTCAAGTGTTACATTTCACAAGTTCCAAAACAGTCCAAATTTCTGTCAAACTCTAAACATTTTATCCAATTCTTTGGTGTTTAATTTTTTTTCTGACATTCCAATTTTTTTTTTTTTCATTTTGTTTTCGCCATGTTTAGCTTTTCTTGCAGGTTTTCTAGTGGGTCCAACATTGTTCAAATTTCGTTTGAAGTTTTCATAATTCTTTTTTCCAATTATTAATAAATTTTTCTTTTCTTTTCTTTTTCGTGTTTAGTTGGGAGAACAACTGAGGGCCTGGAGGGCTGCGGGGCGTTTAGTTAGGGGCAGGGCCGTGAGAGAACGTCCTCTGATCAGCAACCACATGCAGCAGCGGGATTTTTAAATCTACCTGTGTCTGGCGGATTGAGCGTCGCCTCGTCACGTTTTTTTGTGAGCGGACCTAAGACCGGGAACACAAAACAGAGAAAAAAGGACAATTTTGTGGGGAAAAGATGGGGGTCGGGGGAGGTTGTGGATGGGGAAGGGAGGACAGAACGCAGAAAAGGGGAGGATGGGGGGGCAGAAAAAATAAGCCAAAAAAAGCAAAATTTGTTTGCAAGAAAAAGAAACCAAGAAAAGAGAAAAACGTTTCTACAACCCAGTTCTGTTCCCCTCCCCGGAAAAAGTCATGCCCCCAAGAAAAGGCTGGTTTTGGTGGCGGGGGCGAGGGGGGGCGTGCCTAAGTGGGCTGAGGCCTGTCTTAGGACATATTGACTCGGCTGGGAAGGATCTGGCTTGCCGGTGAGTTGGCTAGTTGCTGGAAATGAAACTGTTAGAGGGGAGGGGAAGCCTGCCCTGGGGACCAAGGCCAGCTGTGCCACGTGGCCACCACTCCCGCGGACCCTCCTCAGGGCCAGCCAAGCACCTGCCTGCTCCCCAAGGCTGCGGAGAGGAGGGGCTGCAGCAGAAAGGACTCTGCTTCCCTCTGGACCCACCTGGAGGGCTGTGGGTAGGTCAGCTGAGGCTGCCTGCCCACCTACCCCGCCTCTCAGTCCCAGCATCTCCCTTCCATCCGCACTCACAGGCCTGGCTTCTCACCCCACCTCCCCAACGTGGGGCAAAGCAGGGAAAGGGGTCATCAGGTCTTGCCCTCCACTCCAGCTCTTCCCTCTGTACCCCTCCCCCCAAAACCTCACCCCCTACCCAGGCCTGCTCTCCCCAAAAATGGCAAATGTCCCACCAGGGGCACTCGCCCCTCATCAAACCTTGTTTTAATGCCCAAAAGCCCCCGCCCCCAATGCAGGGGTTCAGTCCACAAATAGGGAACAGGAAACAGTGCCAGGAAGTGCTCCGAGGCACAAAGTGTGCCCTTGGCCCATTGTCAAGGAAAGATCCCTGACTGAGGCCGAGTCTGGCTCCAGGTTTCTTTCAGGGGAGATTTGGAACCCAGGGGCCTGAGGGGGTTCCCCCAGGCTGACTGGTTTCACCTCAACCACAGAGGGAGGGGTGGGTCAGCAAGGCCTGGGCCAGCCTGAGGAAGGGTGCTCCCGAACTGGCGACGATGGCCCAGGAGGACCCATTAAGATCAGGGCCTGTTCTCTGCGACAGGATGAGGATGGGTGAAGTCAGCAAGGCAGGCATGTACGTAAGGATATCAAGTGTCTATGTTGTCTGTGTGTGCGCCTGAGTCAACCTCTTCCTTCCACAGCTGGTGTGAAGACTCAGTGAGAACACCTGCATGTGTCAGGCCCCAAGCAGGTTGGCAGTAAGTGATGGTTAAAAATACAGAAGGTGTGGGCCTGGGCGGTGTGGGGCAGGGTGGGTAATTTATAGGGAGGTGTTGGAGTAGACAGTCTATCGGCGGGAAGTGTTGGGTGGATGGTTCACATGGAGGGTGATGAGACCACCCACGGAGGAGGACATGGGTTGGACAGCCTGTATGAAGATGTGGGAGTGGAGAGTCCATGAATGGGGAGTGCTGAGATGGATGGTCTGTGTGGAAGCACTGGGATGAAGAATTCCATCGGAGAATACTGGTTGGGATGAGTAGTCCATGGGCGGCAGAAAGTGGAGTGGACGGTTCTCACACAGAGGGTGTTCAGTACATGTCCTAGTAGGATGCCTGGACTCTGGGCCTTGTGTGTATGGGTTACTACGAGGCATGGTTTATATCGGTAGTTAGGGTATTGGGGTATGAGCAATATAGGGAAGATGGACCCTAAAGTTGTCGGAAAGGACACGTGTTGGTTGAGGTACAGGAGGTGTCCTGCGGTTGCATGAGAGGACTTTGGGTCCAGGGACTGTGGTCTGGATGGCCTGGGGGAGCACATGGCCCAGGCGCAGTGCTATTGGGATAAAGATCTCTCTGTGGGTGTTTCTAGGCACGTGATCCATATCCAGGGAGATTGGGAGCCACAGGTGTGTGATGGGAAGCACAATTTTAGAGAAGTGCCTGTCAGGGTGTGTGCTGTGTGAAGGGGTTGGGAACTGTAGTCTGTAGGGTGTTGGAACACATATTTATACCATCATTCTTAGGACATACAAAATTATCAACTTAAAAATTAGCCTCTCTATTTGGTCAAACATTTCATTAACATCTGGCCCTGTCAAGGCCCCTGATGCCTTGACAGGGCCAGACCAAATGCTTTCACGGGCCAGATGTCCCCACCCCTGATATAGATGGTCAGGGTATAGGTTGGTTGGGTATGTGATCGGAATGTTGAGTAGTTGAGATCCCTGATCCCGTTGAGAAATGTGAGTACACGATATGGGGGTGTAGGGTGTACACAGAGGGGTTCCTGGTACCAGACCTATGTGTAAAGTTGTTGGAAAATGCCTGTGGGGGTGTGATAGGAGAGGTCTCCGTTGAGGGGTGGGGTACTCTGTAGTGACATGCATGTGAGAGGGTACCGTGGGCTGTGAGGATGGTCTGTGGAGGTGGCTGGCGTACTGCTCATTGCCTCTGGTGTAGACAGCGGAAGGCACTCTGAAAGTTGCTCTGCTCACCTCAGCGTGCTGCAGGGGGGCAGGCAGAGCCTGGCGGGGGACTGTGAGCAGAGCCGTAGTGAACTGAGAGCTTAGTGACCAGACAGCCCGGTGAAGGGCAGGGAGACGTTCTGAGGGGAGGGCGGGCTGTGCTGGGAGTGGAGAGGCCCTTGGCCGGGCGTTTCCCTGATCCTCGGGGGTCTGGGAGTCAGAGGTCACAGCATCCTGGAGAAGAGGCTCAGCCCAGGCAGGGGCTCTAGGCATGATGTGACAGACGGAAGTCTGCAGTACTGGTCTGGGGGAAAGGCGGGTCTAAGCTGTCCTCACGGGAGAGGTGCTGCTAAAGTGGACAAGCCAGGCACCAGTCCAGGCCTGGGGGTGGGGGTGGGGCGGGGGTCAGGGTTGGGGAGGTGGGGCAGAGCTGGAATGGGTGCCCAGGCAGGGTGATGGATGCTTCCTCTGAGGGGTGGGGGAAGGTAAGTCCAGCCTAGTGCCTGCTGACTTTCCCACTGGCTCTCTCTGGGCAGTGAGCTCCTGGGTGCTGCCTACATGGGAGTCATTCCGGGGACAGCTCAGCCGGCACCCAAACCCCCCGGGGAGGGCATAGAGCCGCAGGGATATACTGCCCACAGGGCCCACTCCCATCCCGGGCTGTGCCGGTGCCTGAGGTGCTGCATGCGTGTCTGGGGGCTGTGCCCGCGGGATGCCCGCCTGGTGCCCGCGCCCTTACCGTCCTCGGTGGGCACGTAGAGGTTGAGGTACAGGCAGTCCTCGCTCTGGTTCTGCACGTAGGTGGCGGCTGCCTCCAGGTTGTCGGTGAACCACACGGGCAGCATGATGGCGGGCAGCGCGCCGTGCAGGTTCTGCGGGCAGGCGGGCGGCAGGGCCGTGGCGTTGCGGACGCCGGGCCACGAGGCGGGGGCCTCGGGCGGCTGGAAGCGGCGGGCGCCCAGGGGTGGCGTGGCGTAGGGCACGCCCAGGAACTGCACCACCGGGCCCAGGATCTCGTTGTTGAGCTCACGTCGCACGCCGCGCACTCGCCCGTAGGCCGTGTTCACCACCGGGAAGCGCTCCTCCCCAAGGCTGCTGAGGCCCAGGCCAGGGGCGCCTGGGGCGCCGCCTCCGGGACCCCCTCCCCCGCGCTGAGCCCCCACCAGCCCCACCAGCCACAGCGCCAGGAGCCACATGCTGATAGGGGGACCCCCCCTCCCTCCCCGGGACCCCCCCCTCGGAAAGAGAGAGAAGGGGGGGCAGAGGGAGGGAGGCCCCCCCTCGCCCCAGGAGGGAGGAGGGGGTGGGAAAGGAGGGAGGAGGGGAGTGGACAGGGACCTGGGTCAGACTGGACAGGGGAGGGGTCTGTTCCTTTCCATGGAGGGGGTGAGGGGTGGGGAAGGGGGAGGAGATGGGAGGAATGAGTGCAGGCCGGACCTGTGGGTTAAAGGGAGAGGGTCCGCAGGATACAGATAGACGGACAGGAAATACACGGGAGAGGTGGAAGAAGGGCAGGGGAGAGGGGCAGACAGAAAGGAACGGGGAAACAGAAGAGACAAGTGGTTAGTGACTTGGAATTCAGACTGGCTGACCCCCCTCTCCCACCCTCAGCACTTCTCCCCACCCTAAAAGCCCCTCCATCAGCAGGGACCCCGATAGAAAAGTCTGAGGCTGGGGGTACGGTCAGGGCACAAGCCGAGGGGAGGGACCGGCAGACCCCGCCTGCCTCCTTCCAGCTGCTTCATCCCAACCAGGAGGCTCTGGGGCCTCAGAAGTCCCACTTCCCACCTCCCTGGGAGGGATGAGAGAGACAAGGAAGAGAAAATAAAAATACCAAGTCATTAATTAGCAGGATGTGGAGGGTTTGCTCAGACGTGTTAATTACTCCGGAGCTGTGATTTCATGGCCCTGGACCCCCACCCCAGGCCAGACTCCCCACCTTTTCCCGGGACTGCACAGGCCCAGCACCATCCTCCCTCCAGCACCCCATTCCCCAGGCATTTGTGCATCAGTGGAGGGAGGGGGGGGGGGTCCTTTCCCCCAGTCTCTCTCCATTTCTCCCCTCAGAAGTTAAGATGCCTCGAGGCAGGGGTTAGCGTAGAGAGGGGGTGATGGAGTGGGGGCACATCCAGGGACAGATGCGTGATCCTGCAGCCGGTTGCCCAGCGACAGGGATGCTGCCCCGCAATGTTACCTCGGCAACGGGCTGCAGCTTTAAGGGGGGGGGGGTTCGGTTCTGAAGGAAGAGGGTAATGGACTGCCTTGGTGATGGGGTCCATTCTGGGCATGAGGGCAGAGGCAGGAATCAGAATGCCAGAGTTTCCCCAAACCTTGGCATAGAGGAAGTATATATGTTGAGGGGAGTAGAAGATTGGGGCATTAAAGAACCCTAAAGGACCCGCCTCTTGGCCCGTGTTGGCCAATCAGAGCCTAGTCCTAGTGACCAGGCCTCTGGCTGGGTAGAAGGGGTGCTGAGGTGGGTTTGGAGGGCATCACATGCACCCACTGACTGCCCCCCAGTCTTGAACAGCCTAGTACTACAGGCACTTCTTTCATGCATGGCATTGTGACCCTTGTCCTGGGGGCAAACCTAGGCTTCTCTTCTCATCCCCTCTCAGCTCTTCACCCTTGCCAGTTCCCCACAGATGCTGCTCTGAAGCCTGAGTGCCCAGGGCAGCAGGACCAGGACAAGGGAAGGATTAGACTGAAGGGTCATTCCGCCCCCCCCCCCCTCACCCCCAGCTGCCAGAGCTGTTTGCTGACGCGGGGCTTTCAGAGCCAGGCGCCAGCCCGCGGGTGGCTCTCTGCAGGTGTCAATTTATTCCAGAGATGAGGACACAGGAATCCTTCCCCACACACACACACCTCGTCATGCCCTCCCCCGCCAGTTCCTCCAAAGCTCTGCTCCCCATCACCCCCGGGGGGCTTGGGGCCGGCTCCCTCAGGACCTCCTCTGCCCATGCCAGGCTGGGCTCTGCTTCCACGGCCTTCCACCCCCTCCCCCTCCTACGAACTCAGTCTCTCTGCCCACCACCCCTCCTCCCCTAAGGTACTTTGGGCCCCTGGCCTTCTCCCTGCCAGCTCCTCTTCCTCTTTCCCTCCCCCTCCCCCCCTCCTTCCTCTCCATAGATCTCCCTCCGAGAACCTTTCCCAGTCTCGGCCAGACTGCTCCGGCTCTTGTCTCCAGCCTCTCACCCTCAGTCTTTTTCCATCACTCTCTTCTCTGTCTCCCTCCTTAGTGTTCCTCGTTTTTCTCTCCTGCAAATCCCTTCCCCAAATCTCTCCCCCAAGCCTTTTCTATTTCTCTCTCCTTCTCTTCTTTCCCCATCTCTGTCTCCCCCATTTCCCCTCCCGTTCTCTTTCTGTCTGCCACATCTTGGCGCCCCCCCACCCCACTCCTATCTCTCTGCCTTGCTCTCTCCATTCCTGCCCAGGCCTGACTCCCCCAGCCGGGGAGAGTTGAGGGATAGGGGCTCAGGCCGCAGCCCCCCCTCTTCCTGCAGTGGGGGAAAATGGCTTGGCCGGGAAGGGGAGGAGGGGGAGGGGGAGATGGGAACACACGGGGTCTGTGGGCCCATTCAAAGGATCATTCATGGGCTGGAGAGAGGCAGAGACAAAGAGACTGAGACGGAGAGACACGGCGAGAGCATCCCTAGGCGGAGACAAGCAGACACGGCAGGCTGGGAGAGACCAGGCGCAGAAAGAGATGGGGAGTGGGAGACCCCAATGGACCGCCACGCAGTCCCCTCCACCCGGCCCGGCGTAGCTCCTACCTGGCTCAGCCCTGGGGCCGTGGTCCCTCCATCCAGGGCTCCGAGTAGGGGGCGGCGGCCTCTGAGCCCCCCCGCGGTCCCGCAGGCCCAGCCCCCGCCCGCAGCGCCTCACCCAGCGGGGGAGGGGGATCACCCCAGCCCCAGGGGGCGGGGCCGGGATCCAGTCGATCCCCGGGGAGGGGAGGGGATGGGGTCAGGAGGAACCTGAGAACAGGGAACCCCGCAGTGGGGACAGTTGAGTGAGGAGGAGGCTACGGGACAAGACTGGATTGAGGATCCACTGGCTCCGCGGGCCGGCTTCGAGGGACCAGAAGGTGGTACCGGCGGAGGATCCTAAGGAATCGGGTGCGGGAGGAAGAGTCCACCGCAATCCCCAGGGGCCCGAAGCCCGGGAGAGCAGGATCCGCGGTGCAGGGGCAGAGATCCAGCCGGAATCCTCGGGGAGAGGGAGGGATCTAGTCGATCCTGAGGGCGGGCGGGAGTGGGAGGTCCGGGGAGTCAGAGGAAGGCGGGAGTAGAGTCTGGAACCCCGGGGCGGGGGTCAGCACTGCTCCTAGAAGGGAAAGGGGGGTAAACGGGAGGTTTCGGGGTTCGCTCAGCAGCCGGGAGGCCCGGACTCTCGGCTCCGCGCGCCAGGGCCCGCCCGCCCCGCGTCCATCCCAGCCCGAGAGTGATGATCCGTCGGCGGAGCAGCCGCAGCAGCCCCGCGCGTCACCGCGCGGCCGCCTCCCCCGCCCCCTGCAGAGCGCGGCGCACACCCCTCGCTCGCACCCGCCCGCCGCCCGCCCGCCCTCCAGAGTGTGGGGGGTTGGAGACGGTGGAGGAGGGCGGGAGTGGACAGACCGACGCATGGACGAAGCGGATCGGGCAGGATGGAGACATCCACCCAGATCGCCCATCCCCGGGGCTCCCGCGGCTGGCGGCGGAGGGGCGAACCAGAGGGGGGCGGAGCATCCAGTGAAGAGGGCGGGGCCTGCGGGCCTGGAGGCGGAACCCTATGGGGGTGGGCGGGGTTTGGTGGAGATGGGTGGGGCTTGGGTGTCCGCGGGGTCGCCTATTTTTGGGTGTGGGCCTGGTTTAAAGCCGGAAAGGAGGAGCCTGTGGGGAAAGGGGCGGGACTAGCTTGGGGACCTGGGTCTTTGGAAATCGGCCGGAGGAGGGAGGGGGTGTTAGAAGCGGCGATCAACTTGGAAAGTGGGCCAATCCGTGACGCAAATCCACTAGCCCCGCCCCCCGTCCCCACCCCCCCCACCGCTCCGCTCCTCCGCTCCTCATTGGTCCCGATTTCTCCGCCGCCAGACGTCCCCGCCATTCAACAGGAGCTTTACAAAGGCGCGGCACCGGGGGTGAAGACCTGGACGCCGGAATAAGCACGGCCCTGATTGGGCACCCGGGCGCCGGATTTGCATGGAAGCTCGGGATTGGCTGGCCTCCTGGGTGGCCTGGGCGGTGTTCGCCGGGCTCGTGACCATCCACTGCCATGGCCGGACCTGGCGCCGCTTTCCGCCGCCTGGGCGCCTTGTCTGGAGCCGGGGCCCTGGGCTTGGCCTCCTACGGGGCCCACGGTCAGGGGCCTGGGGTGGAGCTGGGCTGTGCTTGGGGCGACGCGTGGGGTCTGGTGCAGGGATGGAGTGTGGGGATTGGAGGGCTCGCAGCCACCACACTGCCTGCGAATCCCTAAGCCTTTCAGTCGGTTCCCAGGACTACCCGTGCGTTTCCGCCGTCAGAAGCCTCCTGGGGGCGCCCTTCTCCTCGGTGCCCGCGAGGGTCCCCCGGGAGTCGGGGCGTTAGATCTGGTGACTTTTGCCTCTCCTTCCCACAGGCGCCCAGTTTCCAGATGCCTACGGAAAGGAGGTGCAGTAACCGCGCTGGGGCTCCCCGATTTCCGGGTCTATGAGGGCACAAAGTGGGGGGGGGGTCCCCGAGGGGAGGGGCGGAATGCGGGACTTTGGAGCCTCAAGGGCAGAAAGCCTGAGGTGTTGGTGCCTCCGGGAGGGGCAAGCTGAGACTTCGGTTTGGGGACGACCTTTTGCCCCTGAGATCCAGGCTTCTGTGTTGCTTAGGAAGTTACCCCTTCACCCCTAATTACTCTTTTTCTTTTTCTTACAGCTTTTTGAAAAGGCCAACAAACACCACTTCTTACACAGCCTGGCCCTGTTAGGGGTGCCCCATTGCAGAAAGCCCCTCTGGGTAAACTTATCCCTGGTCTAACCCTGAACAAGCCCCACCCCCTCCATCCAATCTGCCCTTTGCTTATTATCTCGTTTTCTTCCTTGTAACTCCCCAGGCTGGATTACTTTTAGCCTCTGGAACCACCTTGTTCTGCACCAGCTTTTACTACCAGGCTCTGAGTGGAGACACCAGCATCCAGACTCTGGCCCCTGTGGGCGGGAGCCTTCTGATCTTGGGCTGGCTTGCCTTGGCTCTTTGAGCTTCCCTGTGTTTAATTTCTGGGTACATTTTTGAGAGGTGACACAGGGAGGGGATTAAAAGAGAAAGGCAAAGAAGTATGAAGTCTTTGTTCTCCTAACCTCTTGGATGAAGAAGGGTAGGGATTGTCAACCTCTGAACTCCCTCGCCTTCTAAGATGACTGTGAGCTTTGGGTCTGAGGACTCTGTTCACTTCAAGTTAATCTGTTATGAGGTTCTTAAACTCACAACAGAGTGATAAATAATACTTGAAGATTCTCATGGAAGCCCTCTTCAAGGCCTGGAACCTATATTTTAATAAGCTCATCTTGTGGTTCTGGTGCTTACTAGAATTTTAAGATTAGTGTAGGGTTTTCAGCCCCGTCATTCCACAAATTGAGCGCTCATTTAGTCCGGAAGCCAAGTTTAAAGGCAAGGCAGGACAGAAGGAATGTCATTACAGACCCCCCCCCCCCCAGCTGTGGTTTTGCTTTCCACAAGCTCACATCTACCCATGGTCATCTGTGGCCCAGAAATACAAAGTAGAAAATTCCAGAAATAAACAATTTATACTTTTTAGAAAGTGTGCTGTTCTGTGCCATCCTCTGTCTCACCATGATGTGAATCATCCTTTTGTCCAACTACCAGCCGATTAGTCCCTTAGTAGCTGTCATAGTTACCAGATCGACTGTAATGGACTTGCTGTGTTTATGTTCGGGTAGTCCTCATATTACTCAGTAATGGCCCCAAAGCACAAGAGTAGTGATGCTGGCCATTGAGATATGCCAAGGGGAAGCTGTAGAGTGCTTCTTTTAAGTGAAAGTGCTTGACTTATGGAAATAAAGACATGCTTAGGTTGCTAAGATCTGTAGTAAGGACATGTATCTATAAAATGATGAAAGAGGAAGAAATTCGTGCTGATTTTGCTGTTGCAGCTCCAAGTGCAAAAGTTGCAGCCACAGTGCATGGTAAATGCTTAGTTAAGATGGAGAAGGCATTAAATTTGTGTGTGGGAGACATGAACAGTAAGTGTGTTCTGTTGTAGATGGCAACCTGTCATACCAGAGAGCATTGAGCCTATACAGGAAGACACGCTGTGTGTATAGGGTTCAGCACTACCTGTGGTTTCAGGCACACACTGGAGGTCTTAGAACATATTCCCCTTGGATGCAGGGGGGCTACTGTACTTACACTTATACTTTGGGGTTCAAAGAAGGGACAGGACATTACGTGTTAGGGGTTAGAAAATGCTTCACAAGCCCTAGCCAATTTGGCTCAGTGTATATAGCATCAGCCGGTGGACTGAAGGGTCCTGCGTTCAATTCTGGTCAAGGGCATGCATCTCAATCGCAGGCTTGATCCTCAGCCCTGGTTAGGGGTGTGTGTGGGAGGCAACCAATCAAGGTGTCTCTCTTCCACTCACTAAAAATCAATGGGGAAAATATCCTTGGGTGAGGATTAACAAAAATAAAAAGGAAAAAGCTTCACAGTGCTTGAAATGATCCTTGAAAGAGCTCTGCTGAGTGAAAGGAACAGTGAACAAAGACAGTGGTAGGGAGCAGAGGAGTATGGGACTAAAGGACTCTTCAGTGTGGGACACGTTTCTGAGAAAAGGAATGGGAAAACGTGGCAAGGCAGGCAGGAGTAGCACCCCAGCATGTGGCGAACTGGGAGATATTCAGGGGGCCAGTATTTATTAAGCCAGTGCTCATCAAGTATTGATCATGTGTCAGACATACGGAAATTCAACTGAGCAGACGGATGCCAACTTTCCCTCATGGAGTCTTCCATTTGGTAGTGGAAACAGACCTTAAATAACTGAACAAACCTATCATTGTGAGTTGTGCTGTGCTTGAAGGAAAAGAAGAGGGAGGCAGAGGAAGAGTGGGTCAAGGGGAGCTATCCTTTTAGATGGGAAGTCTGAGGCAGGAGAACATGGGGTGAGTTGGAGAACACTACATGTGGCAGGCAGACACTCAGAACTTCTTTGTGGTGCAACAATAAGTCATTAAAAGGTTTTTTTTAAGGAGAGTGCTAGAATCTGGTATGTTTACAAGATCTGGAGAACCAATCGGGGGTTGGCCACAGGGAGACCAGTCAGGAAGCCACTGAAGAGGTCCAGGTGTGAGATGACGGCATGGCTTAGGGTGAAAAGGATCCAATTCAGAAGATATATTTAAGATGCTTCTGCTAGGACTTGCTGATGGATTGAGCAGAAGGGATGGATGAGGGAGGTTTCTGCCTTGTACACCTTGATGGAGGTGCTATTACTCCGACGAGGAAACCGAAAGAGGTTGCAGATTAGGGGGAGGCAAATCCGCAGGTCAGTTTGGACATGTTCCTTCCAGCTGGAGGCGTCACGCAGGTTGTTGGAGAGCTCAGGAGAGAAGCCTCAACTCAAATTTACTCCGCATCCCACTCTGGTCAGGCTTCCATCCATTTCTTCCCCATAAATGCTCTCGGAAGGATCCCATAACTCACTATGACCTCCTGGTTGCCAGATCTAATGGATGATTTTCTATCTCATTTTTCTCAGCCTCCCTGCAGCATCTGACACAATTGGCCACACTGTCCTTGAAACACATCATATTGCTTCTATGACACCACTCTGGGCTTTTCTCCCTCTGTGGCTACTTTGTCAGCTTCTCCCCTATGCAGTTTAAATTAATGGTTTCCAAATTTTAATGGGAAGAAAAAAAATTAGAACTACTATGCATACATATTTTAATTTCATTTTCTTGGGGGGGGTGTTTCTCAATATAATTTCATTTTTTAAAATGTCTATATGTGTATGTTTTGTATAGTATATTGGAGGTGCATACCTAATTTTTCTGAAGGTGTGCATTCAAAAAAGTACAGACCGTTCCTCTCATGAAGGATGCTTAGATAACCTCATTCAGCCCCACATCTTTCATTAGGATCTGCATAACTAAACCCAGAATCTCTGTCTCCCACCCTAGTTCCTGCTGAGCTCCAGCCTTCTGTGGCAGCTGCAGTGTAGCAGAGTGCTCTGTGGAGTCTTAAAGGAGCTGGGTGATAGGAGGGAAAGGGGCGTGTTCCAAACCAGGCAGCCCTAAAGCAAGAGGGAGCAATGGTGACCTGAAAGAATTCCTGGTGACTGGCTTGAGGATCATACAAGGGTCCATAGTGAAGGATGCGGGCAGCACTGGCCAAATGGTGGAGTGACTGGGCTGAGAGGTTGGACTGTTTTCTGAGTACAACGGGAAGCCACTGAAGCATTTGTATCCAGGGAGGAGACATGATGTGAGGTGTATTAGAGGATCACAATAATTCTTCATTGAAAGATAAGTAAAATAGCCGTTTGGCTCAATGGATAGAGCATCGGCTTTGGGACTGAAGGGACCCAGGTTCGACTCTGGTCAAGGGCATGTACCTTGGTTGCGGGCATATCCCCAGTAGAAGGTGTGCAAGAGACTCTTTCTCATCGATGTTTCTAGCTCTTTATCTCTCTCCCTTCCTCTCTGTACAAAATCAATAAAAAAATATATATTAAAAAAAAAGAAAGATAAGTAAAATAGGCCCCAGAGTGACCCACAATGCCGCTGGCAGAGCCAGCACTGGATCCTCGGGCGCCTACCTCCCAGTTTAATGCTCTTGGTGCATTTCTATCTTCATCTCAGGCGATGTCTGGAACCTAGGGAACTTGCAGGGGGAGGAGAACTCGGTGTCTGGAATGGCCACCCTCCATGTAATGCGATCCCTAATACCTTCGCTTTGTCCTCCCAGTAGGCTGGGCTCTTGGGGAACCAATATGAATAAGGCCTGCTTGATCATTTGTCCTTATTGTTACCATACATTGTATCTCAGTCCCGATGGGAAGTGAAACTAAGAGAGGTACAGGAACTTGTTCTGTATCACACAGCGAGGACCTGGGTAAGCCGAGATTCAAACTCTCTTCTGTTCAGTTCCCAGCGCTAAATTCTTTCCTTCATGTACACACCAAGAAACAGTGAAGACAGACCCTTCAAACATTTGATACAATGTGTTCAGTGTTATAAGTAGGAACAGGTGGGCTGGCGACCCTCTTGGTGCATGGAGATTGGTGGGACCTCTGTCCACCTGCTGGGTTTTCCCCAGAAAAAAGGGACAAGGTCATACTGGTAACTAAACAAGAGGGAGAACAGGAGCGCCTGGAGCTCAGGATGGAGTGGGCAGCAGGAAAAGGCAATTCAGAGTAAGTGTGGAGCTCACACTGAAGAGCCTCCTGGCAAAGCTTCAGTCAACGTTGACTTCCCTTTTCCTCACCTCCTATGTCCAAGCCATCATCAAAGCCTGTTGGCTTGAATACATAACTGGAATCTGACCATTTCCCACTGCTACCACTCATGCCACCATTAATCTCCCCTAGTTTGCCTGGCTAGTGTGGTTTGGTGGTTGAGCTTTGACCCATGCACCAAGAGGTCGCCAGTTTGATTCCCTGTCAAGGCACATGCCCAGGTTGCCAGCTCAATCCCCAGTGAGGGGCATGCAGGAGGCAGCCAATTGATGTTCCTATCTCTCCATCTCCCTTCCTCTCTCTTTCAAATCATTAAAAACAGCCCTAGCCAGTTTGTCTCAGTGGATAGAGCATTGGCCTTTGGACTGAAGGGTCCTGGGTTTGATTCTGGTCAAGGGCACATGCCCGGGTTGTAGGCTTGATCCCCAGTAGGGGGTGTGCAGGAGGCAACTGATCAGTGATTCTCATCATTGATGTTTCTATCTCTCCCTCTCCTTTCTTCTCTGAAATTAATATATATTAAAAATATTTAAAATCAATAAAAACATGTATCTTTTAAATCTCACCTAGTTTTATGCAAGAACTTCCTTCTGTCCTTGATTATCTACAGCTTACATTGGACAAAGCAGAGAGAAAGAAAGAGAAATCCTTCTAACAGTAGTCCTCAGCCTTAGCTATACATTAAAGCCTGCTGAAGAATTCTCAAAAAGTTCTTATGGTCCTGGCCCATGTTCTAAGTGGTTAGAACATTGCCCCGTGCACCAGAGTCAAGGGTTCAATTCCTGGTTCAAGGCATGTACCTGGGTTGTAACTTCGATCCTGGGCCCAGATGGAGTGCTTTCAGGAGGAAACTGTGTCTCTCAAATTGATGTTTCTCTCTCCATCCCTCTCTCCCTCTAAAGCAGTGGTTCTCAACCTTCCTAATGCCTCGACCCTTTAATACAGCTCCTCATGTTGTGGTGACCCCCAACCATAAAAATTATTTTCATTACTACTTCATCACTGTAATTTTGTTACTGTTATGAATCGTAATGTAAATATTTGTGTTTTCCAATGGTCTTAGGCAACCCTAAGAGAACTGCTAGCAGGGTCCAGGCAGAGGTATTTTTAAAGCATCCCAACTGATTCTAATCTGTGGCCAGAAGTTGAGGATCATTATTTCAGTATGTGAGGCTCATGTCTTGTCTCTGTCCAAACCCTCCAACACTTCCCATCTCAGAGTGTAATCCAATAGCCTACAAGGCCATATGTGATCTGGCCTCCTACTTCCCTCTCATGCATTCTCTTCCTCCCTCCCATTCACTCTGTCCCAGCTACTCTAGCCTTCTTTTCAGTCATTGATCAATGAAGGCGCACTTCTGCCTCGAGACCCTTGCCCGTTGCTTATGCGTGAAACACTCTTCACGTAGAAGTCTGCATGGCTCAATCGCTGACCTCCTTTAGTTATTTGCTCAATGATCACCTTCTAGTCTGCCCTCTTTAAAATTGCAACCCCATGCCCAGCTGGTGTGGCTCAGTGGCTGAGTGTTGATCCATAAAGCAGGAGGTCACCTGCTGTATTCCAGGTCAGGGTACTTGCCTGGGTTGTGGGAATCCATTGGGCGGGAGGGGGTGGGGGATACAGGAGGCAGCCTAACAGTGATTCTCTCTCATTGATGTTTCTATCTTTCTCTCTAATTTCTTCTCTGAAATCAGCAAAAAATTTTAAAAAATTAAATTGCAACCACTCTCTATTCTCCTTATTCTGCTCTATTTTTCTTCATAGCACTTGTCACTTCTGATGTATTTATTTACATTATCTGTCTCTTCTTCACCAGAATGTGAGCCCCAGGGAATCAGGAATATCTGTTTTGTTAATTGTTTTTAACTGGTAAACATTCCTATCACCTTAAATGCTGTCTGGCATACAGTGGGTGCGCACGGGATCTTTGTTGAATAGTTGAATTTCTGTATGCCTGTGCATTTTGGTGGAGGGCAGTCAAGCCCTTGTCTGAAGCAGATGATGACTGAAGCTGTGGGAGCAGGTGAACAGCCCAGAAGAACATGGACACACCAGCAAAGGAGCCCCCAAAATCAGCCGCCGTGTTCACATTGATGAGTTTCTCCTTCATCTGCCTGGTCGCCAGGCGCCTGCGGTTATCCTGGACTCTTCACTCCCCAGCTCATCCTCCAGACAAGTTCCATACTGTGCACTCTGCACTACCACAGCAACCTCTCCCCCAGGCTGCTGCCAGCCACCCAGCCTGGGTGCCCATTGTTTTCCACATTGCAGTTTTAATAAAACAAAGTTTTGACCATAACTTTTTCTTAATTAAATGTGGTCAAAATCTCTCAGTAGGTTCCCAGCTCCCAGGGCCTTGTGTGCACGCCCTCTCTCCCTCACACCTGGGACCTCGGTCCAATCCCTTCTTTTGGGGGAGCCTTTTCTACCGACTGCACTGCCTCGTCTGGTCTCCCCCAACTTAACCTCCTGCACACTCACTGGTGACACAATTGGGCAGCCTGTCACCCGCGTGGCGGGGCACGACCTTGCAAGTGCCGGCATTGCAAGGCGCCTGTGTGGGTCACCGTGGGTCATTGCGGGCGTCAGGAAGGAGAGGCCGCGCGGTGAGCTCGGGCAGGGAGGAAGGGAGCCAGGAGCTAAGCAGTGATGGTGTGAGGGGCATCCCGCTGCGCAGCGAGGCCCGTACCACCTCGGAGCAGGAGCCCGGGGTCCGAGCGGTGCCACCGTCCTCGCTCTCCCGGGAGGGGCGCTGAGCCTCAGTCCGCACCCCCGCGGGGGAGGGAGGAGCGCGGTAGGACTCCGCCGCTGCCTCCCCGGAGGACTTCCTCCGCGGCCGCCGCGGGCAGACGGAAGAGGCGGGACGCCCACCACGCGGAGGAGCCCTCGGTCCCGGGTCCGCGGCCGGAGAGCCGGTGTCCTCTCTGCGCAGGCGCGGCTCCCAGGCGGGGGCGGGGCCGGGCGGCGGGGGCGGGGCCAGGCTCCGGGCCCGCCTCCGCGAGCTCTCGGAGCCTCGGAGCGTTGGGCACCCCGACTCTTTTAGGGGCTTCAGGTGAGCGGGGGATGCAGAGGGGTCAGGAAGCCGCCCTCGCGGTCGGGCCGTCGGGCCGATCGCGGGTCCGCCCGCCCTGCCGTCCGCCCACAGCCGCCTCCGCGGAGAACGGGAGAACAAAGGGAGGGGGCGGTTCTGCACACCCCGGAGGGAACCCGGGGTCCCAGGTACCCTGCCCCGCCCGCTGACACTTTCGGTTTCTCCCCGAGTCAGAGGCGCCGCCCGACAGACCCTGGGCGGGCGCCTGGCGCAGCCGCCTCCGCGTGTGCCCGTGCGTCTTTGTGTCTGTCTGTGTGTCTGTCAGGCTGTCCCCGGGCTTGCCTCCACTTCGAGAGCCAAGCTTCCGGTATAGCGACAGCCCGCGAGCCCTCATCCCTCTCCCATGGCAGGTAGGTGGGCCCGGGGCAAGGGTCTCCGTTATTCCTCCCCCGAACCCCCACTGGGAGCTGGGTGTCTGTCGGACGCACCCTCCGGGAATGTGCTCCGACTGGCTGGGTGGGGCCCCTCCCTTCCTCCCGGAGCCGCCGCCCTGCTCCCCAACCCCATCCTCTCCACTCTCTTCTCACCACGTTTCCCCGCAGCCTCGAGGTTCCCCCACCCCACCAAGGGTTAAGGGGCAAGAGGATGAGGTCATGAGTCTCTCTCATCGACCCCTGTTCCCCCCCACCCACCCACCCACCCACAGGATACATGCCCCCCACAGGCTACGCCCCCTCGCCCCCTCCTCCCTACCCTGTGGCCGCGGGGTACCCGGAGCAGGTGCAGCATCCCGGGCCCAGCCCGGCGCCCGCCCCCGCGCCCGCCCCGGGCTTCGCTGTCTTCCCCTCGCCCGGGGGCCCGGGTCCTGCCGCCGGGCCCGCCGCCCCGCTCCTGCCGCTGCCCGGGGTGCCTGCTGGCCTGGAGTTCCTGGTGCCGGTGAGTGGGTGGGATGGGGAGGAGGAGCCGCAGGGAGGGCCGGGCTCCGGGCTGTGCTGAGGGGGCGGCCCGTCTCTTTGCAGATTGACCAGGTCCTGGTCCACCAGCGCGCGGGCGGCGTGGAGAGTGAGTGCGGGGCGCGCGGTGGGGGGGGGGGGGGGCCTCGGGACGGGCAGGGCGCGGGCTCCTGGCAGCGCGGGTGCCTGAGCTCCGTGTCCCCCGGCAGCGCTCCTGGGCTGGGAGACCAGGAACCGGTACGAGCTGCGCTCCGGGGCCGGGCAGCCGCTGGGGCAGGCGGCCGAGGAGAGCCACTGCTGTGCGCGGCTGTGCTGCGGCGCCCGCCGCCCCCTCCGCGTGCGGCTGGTGGACCCCGGCGACCGGGAGGTGCTGCGCCTGCTCCGCCCGCTGCACTGCGGCTGCGGCTGCTGCCCGTGCGGCCTCCAGGAGGTGGGCAAGGAGGACGGGTCCGGAGAGGGCAGGGTAGGAGCCAGGAGGTGGGCGCGGAGGGGTGACTCCGGGAGAGGGTGGGGTAGCGGCCAGGAGGGTCAGGGATGGAGCATCACCAGCACGAGGCTGGAGGGAACAGGTGCGCCTGGAGGTCTGCTGAGGGGGTGACAGGCGGGCGGGCAAAGGGGATGGGAGGTCTGGTGAGGGGAGACCGGAGCAGAGCTGGTGTGGCGAGGGCTTGGGCCAAGGTAACCCTGTCTGCCTCCCACTCCAGATGGAAGTGCAGTCGCCACCCGGCACCACCATCGGCCACGTGCTGCAGACCTGGCACCCCTTCCTCCCCAAGTTCTCCATCCAAGATGCCGATCGCCAAACGATCCTGCGAGTGGTGGGGCCCTGCTGGACCTGTGGCTGCGGCACAGACACCAACTTTGAGGTATCAGGAATCAGGGGAGATTATAAACCCTCATAAACCACGATGGCAGCTTCCACGAGGCAGGATGGCCAACACTAAAGTCAAGACATGGAGCTCATCGGGCCAAACTCACTGTGACTCCTACCCCTTTTCCAGTGTTCCTCCATTTGGAAATAGGACGGCTCACTGGTCTTATAAAAGCATGACAAAGTGGGGTTCACCTTGAGGGCCAGTGCTGATCGTCACCTGCAGCCATCTCGAGAAGGAGACAGTCTGCGGCCAGGCTGGGTTTAGAAGGGAGAAGGGCCCATGTAACTGTCTGCATGGGTTTGTGAGTTCAGACCCTGGAGCAAGCACTAAGTCAACTTTTTAAAAAGTATAATTTTATTGATTTTTTACAGAGAGGAAGAGAGAGGGATAGAGAGTTAGAAACATCGATGAGAGAGAATCATCGATCAGCTGCCTCCTGCACACCTCCTACTGGGGATGTGCCCGCAACCAAAATACATATGTGCCCTTGACCGGGCCGGAACTGAGACCCTCCAGTCCGCAGGCCGACGCTCTATCCACTGAGCCAAACCGGTTTCAGCCTAAGTCAACTTTTTAAAAAAATATATATATATATTTTATTGATTTTTCACAGAGAGGAAGAGAGAGGGATAGAGAGTTAGAAACATTGATGAGAGAGAATCATCGATCAGCTGCCTCTTGCACATCCCCCACTGGGGATGTGCCCGCAACCAAGGTACATGCCCTTGCCCGGAATCGAACCCGGGACCTTTTCAGTCTGCAGGCTCTATCCACTGAGCCAAACCGGTCCCAGCCTAAGTCAACTTTTTAACACCCTGTGGCTTGCCTTGCCAATCTAAAAGCCCAGTGGCCTCTCCAGCCTGGAGTTCAGGTGAGATCCTTCTCACCATCACTCCTACCACCCGCCTGGAGCCTGTGAACCCAAGTGGAGACAGACTCAGTGTGAGGCTGAAAAGCACCTTTGCTTGTAGGAGACAAAGACACTTTACAGACCCTTGATATTTTTTTTTTAAGTTTTTTAATTGATTGTTAGAGAGGGGAAAGAGGAAGGGAGAGAGAAATGAAAAAAAGAAACACTGATGCCCTACCCGGTTTGGCTCAGTGGATAGAGCATTGGCCTGTGGACTGAAGGGTCCCAGGTTCGATTCCGGCCAAGGGCACATGCCTGGGGTTGTGGGATCGATCCCCAGTGGGGTTATGCAGGAGGCAGCCAATCAATGACTCTCTCATCATTGATGTTGGGACACACGGTTGGCTGGGAGAGAAGCTGCCCAGCCTGGGACTGATCATCAGGAAGTGCCCCAGGGGGTGGGACGGAGAGGGAAGGGGATGGGAAGATGGGAAGGGCGTAGAAGGAAATGATGATAGCTCTAGTCACTGTGAGCATAGGAGAATGAGCATAGGAAAAGGACCAGGGCGTCGCTGTGAGTTACCACCTGCATCAGCAGGACCTGTTGCCGCTGGTCCTCAGAGGCCCCCCCGTCCCCCAGGAGATGGGCTTGGAGCCCTCTGGCTGAGGCTTGCATGCAGTGCTGGGCAGGGCCCTCCCTACTTAGCAAAGGCAACCCTTTGGGCAGACAGTCTTCTAGGCCAGTGGCCGGCAAACTCATGAGTCAACGGAGCCAAATATCAACATTACAACGATGGAAATTTCTCCGGAGAGCCACATTTTTTAAACTTAAACTTTTTCTAACGCCACTTCTTCAAAATAGACTCTCCCAGGCCGTGGTATTTTGTGGAAGAGCCACACTCAAGGGACCAAAGAGCCGCATATGGCTCGCGAGCCGCCGTTTGCCGACCACGGTGCTAGGAGCCTGGTTGGCCGATAGGGTGCAGCCAGAATTTTCGCAGCCTCCTTTGGCAGGAACTTTGGTAATAAAAACAAACCTACCAACCAGCCACACGCCGAGGAGACCGGACTCTGTTATGCTTCCGTTTCTCTCACACTGATGTTCCATGGATACGTATGGTCCTTCAAGAGAAACAGAGTCGCCGGGACCAGTTTGGCTCAGTGGTAGAGCGTCAGCTTGCGGACTGAAGGGCCCCGGGTTCGATTCCGGTCAAGGGCATGTACCTTGGTGGCAGGCATATCCCCAGTGGGGGGGGGGGGTGCAAGAGGCAGCTGATCGATGACTCTCTCTCATCGATGTTTCTAACTCTCTATCTCTCTCCCTTCCTCTCTGTACAAAAATCAATAAAATAGATTAAAAAAAAAAGAGAGAGAGAGAGAAAAAGAGAGAGAGAGAGAGAGAGAAACAGAGCCATGAGAGAGAGAGAGAGAGAGAGAGAGAGAGAGAGAGAGAGAGAAACAGAGCCATGAGAGAGAGAGAGAGAGCGAGAAACGGAGCCATGTCTGAATCCTGATTTTGGCTATATATTCCCAGGGTGACATGGTGACTCAGTTTCCCCAGAAGTCACATGGAAACCCAAGGCTGTTAGGGATTGACTGAGTGTGGAGCCGCACAGTTCTCGCGGGTGCCCGTGGGAGGGAGAGACAGGCGAGCGGCTGCGTCCACCCTAGCTGGGTCTGCCCGTCTCGCCCCTCCGGCTCCTGGCAGGTGAAGACCCCGGATGAGTCCCGCAGCGTGGGCCGGATCAGCAAGCAGTGGGGCGGGCTGCTCCAGGAGGCCCTCACGGACGCAGACGACTTCGGCTTGCAGTTCCCGCTGGATCTGGACGTGAGGGTGAAGGCGGTGCTGCTGGGAGCCACGTTCCTCATTGTGAGTCGGCGGTGCCTCCTTTACCCCACGGGAGGCCTGCACCTCCTGGCCTCCTGCTAGCCAAGGGTTAGGGACAGACTTCATGGGGGCGGGGGCGCAGGTCTAGACCTGGGTTGGGACAGCGCCTCCTGCTGACGGAACCCTCCCCTCAGGACTACATGTTCTACGAGAAGCGAGGAGGCCCTGGGCCCTCTGCCATCACCAGTTAGACGGCAGCTCAGGGTGAGGACCATCTCCTGAGTCAGAACTCAAGATGCTCACCTGGCCCGGCCCGGCCCCTCCTCGGAGGCAGCCCCTTTCCTCCATGTGCGCTGCAGAGGACAGACGGGTGCCTGAGAGGCTGGGGCCACGGTGCCCCCTCCCTGCCCCGCTCCCCCGGCCTCCTTCACTGTGGCCCCCGCAGGAGGGTACGTATGAGAGCCCTTCCCTGCTACCTCTCACCGCTGTCTCCGCCGTCCCTCAGCATCCAGGCATATCGGCTTTCACACTGCCCTGCTCCCTTCCCCTCACCCCTTCCAGGCCTCTGCTCTGGGGTCTTACAACAGAGCTGGGGTGGGAAAGGGTAGGCAGCACCAAAGATGGCTGATGTGGCCGCCCACCTCTGCCTCAGCTTGGCCAATCCTTTCAGCCTCAGAACATGGCACTCAGAGGAGGTCCCTATTTCCCCAGCAACGGCTCCAGGGCCTCGGCCCCAGCGCCAACCTCTGCCCCCTCCCCCCGCCGCCCTCCCCACCGCTGGTGCTTCTGCAGCTCCGTGTGCCTTACTGAACCACCCTCCCTGCCCTGTTCCTACAAAGGAGGCTGCATTTGTATGTTGTATTCATATAAACTTTGTAATGTTTTGGACATTGGAAGATACGTGTAATGGGAGAGGGTGGACGGAACAAAGGGGAATGTGACAGCTGGGCCGGGCGGGGCTGGCCTGTCTGTCTCGTAATCCATGCTGCCGGGATCAAGTGTCCTTGCATCCAAGGCAGCAACTCTCATCACCCATGACGGCCCCGGCCCAGGCCCGGCCCACAGTCTGGGCCACGCGCCCCAAGTCAGTGTGGCTGCTCCCGTCACCCGGGACGCTGTTCCCGTGGGCTCAGTGTGAAGGGCTCGGTGTGAAGGCCACTCAGGACGCTGTTCCCAGGGGCTCGGTGTGAAGGCCGCTCAGGGGGCTGTTCCCAGGGGCTCGGTGTGAAGGCCGCTCAGGGGGCTGTTCCCAGGGGCTCGGTGTGAAGGGCTCGGTGTGAAGGCCGCTCAGGGGGCTGTTCCCAGGGGCTCGGTGTGAAGGCCGCTCAGGGGGCTGTTCCCAGGGGCTCGGTGTGAAGGGCTCGGTGTGAAGGCCGCTCAGGGGGCTGTTCCCAGGGGCTCAGTGTGAAGGGCTCGGTGTGAAGGCCGCTCAGGGGGCCGCTCAGGGGGCTGTTCCCAGGGGCTCAGTGTGAAGGGCTCGGTGTGAAGGCCGCTCAGGGGGCTGTTCCCAGGGGCTCGGTGTGAAGGCTGCTCAGGGGGCTGTTCCCAGGGGCTCGGTGTGAAGGCCGCTCAGGGCGGCTGTTCACAGGGTGCGGGGTGGCCCTTGTCCTTCTCCGCAGCAAGGACAAGCTTCCTGTGGGAATGGTGCACAGCAGCTCTGTCCCTCCTCCTCCTCCTCCTCCTCCTCCTCCTCCTGGTGGGAAATGTGGCCGGCAGATGGGCTACATCCTTCCGTGGCCCCGCCACGGGGGCTTGGGCCCTCCGAGGCCGAGGCCGGGCAAAGGAGACGCGTCAGTGCCGGCCCTGGGCCCTGGGCCTGCCCGGCCGGCTCTCCTCGGGGGGAATGTGCACCCTTTCAGGGCCCCACCGGCCCGCTCCTCGGTGCATCTGGTGTCCGTGTGTGAAGGAGCCGAGCTCAGGGCCGAGCCAGGACGTAGCGACTGGCCGCCGAGAGGTCCCACTGGTAGTGCTCCAGGATGTGCCGGCAGTCGGCTCTGGACCGGCTGCTCAGGTGGAAGAGCTGGTCTACCTGGGGGCGGGGGAGGGGCGGCTGAGTGTCGGAGGGCAGGGGCAGGGCAGCGGGGAGCCGAGGGGAGGGCTGCCCTTACCTTAAGGTTCTGGATGGCAGAGACCACATCTCCTCCCGTGGCCCTCAGGGCCGCCTGGCACTCCTGGTGGGTGACTCCGTGGACGCTCAGCTGCACCTTAGGGCACAAAGCCTCACTTAGGCCCTTAGCCCAGCCTGCAGCCCCTTCTGGACCCCAGGCCGCGTCAGGGAGCCCTCACCTCCATCGCCCTCTTCTGCAAATCGGGGTCGGGCAAGAGGCCTCCGGGGAGCACAGCGGCTCTGCTGTCTCCAGGGGTCCCCAGGGGGTGACTGTGCAGGGGTTCTCTTTCTCTTTTGGGCCAGGAAGGCCGCTCCTGGGGGGGCTGGCTGGGAGGGCGGGGTGGCAGGCCGGGGGGCCCCTGGGGGACATCTCTGGCTTTTCGAAGTTCAGGGGGGCTGAAACCACCCCCTCTGGGGCAGGGGCCCAGAGACAGAACAGATTCCAGACTCTTGGAAATGCCTGCACGGTGAGAAAAAACATCTTGAGAGGAAGCCTCGATGCAGGGCCCTGCCTCCTTCCCGCTCTGTCTGCCTGTGCTGTCCTCCGGGGTCCGGGACCGTAAGACGGACACCCAGGCCCGGGCAGCTAAGTACCCACAGGCCTGGGAGGGCAGGCGCCGCAGGTGGGGTGCTGTGCAGAGTGGACGAGGCCAGTCTTAAAGGACAGCTGCGATGCCCACAGGCAGAAGGAAGTGGTGGAAGGAAGGAGTCACGTGTGGGGAAATCATATCCCAAAGGCATGGATTCAGAGCAGGGGGCAGAACTGAGGGTTGTTCCTGGTCCCAGAGGCCCTGGGGCCCTGCCCTTCCCCCACACTCACCCTTCATCCTCTGCAGGGCCATGTTCCTTCTCGGCCCCTGAGCTGGAGGCGGCTCCCGAGGCTTCGCCTTGGCTCTGGCCCTGCTGGAGAGGGATCCCGTTCGCCTTCCACCCCAGCCCCACCTGACATCAATGTCTCCCCCAAAGGATCTCGGGGCTCCCTTTCTGACTGAGACTCAGAGTGGAAGCTTCTCCCGGAAGGAAGGCACGTCCAGCCTCCCAGCTCTCCCACCCCTCCCCACGCTCCCCTTGCAGAGCAGCTGCTGAGCGTGGTTGGTTTCCCAGCCCAGCTCTGTCCCCAGGCTCCAGGTCCTCACCCTTCTGCGCTTCCCCGTCTCTGCTCTCCCCACGCAGGCGAGCCCCGGTGGGCTGGGCAGGGGGCCGGCGAGCCCTTCGGGTCTGTCAGCGTCACGGCCGAGGCTGGGAACGTGCCCACTTTCAACGTGCGGCCATTCTGGCCCTTCCAGGTGGCGGAGCCGGGGCTGTGGAACGAGGGGAAACACGGGGGGCGTGGAGGCTGGGCTCCCACACGCGTCCCTCACACGCCGTGTGCCACGAAGCTGCGTCCGCCCGGAGGAAGGGAAGCCGTTTTCTCCCCAACACAAAGGGCTCTGTGGGCACGCTCCGGCCAGCAGCCGGGACGGCGGAGCGTCGGAGAGTGAGGCCGAGGATTAGGGCTGGAGGAGCTGAGGGAAAGCAGGAAAGGAAGCAGGGTCGGGCGTGTTGGGAGGGAGTCCCCCTGGGGATTCGAAGGAAACATGAGGCACTCACCTGCCCTCGATGATAGTGATGAGATCTCCAGACTCCATCCTCAGGGCGCCCGGCTCTGTGACCTCCCTCACACACCGCCCCTCGGGGGGCCAGGCCTGTGGACGCAGGAGAGGGTGCCATGGAGCAGGGAAGAAAGACTCCTCTTGGTTTACACACCCACCATCAAACCCGTCCCAGCTGTGTCCTGTTCTGGGCCCAGGATGGGACTGGCCCTCCCTGTCCCCCGATTGTAGCCATGGAGGAGGCAGGCCTGGATTCCATGCCAAGCTGGACACAGCCCAGGGGTCAGGGAGCCGCAGAAGGGGGGCTGTCTCTACCTAGGGAGGCAAAGAGGGCGTCGTCCTGCATTCTGCTTTTACTCCACACCCAGGCCCGTCACATCCACCGCCAAGCACCTCTGGAAAGTTTCCGTTTCTTTCCAGCTCCGGCGTCTCAACCCTCATCCAGACCTCTTCATCTCTCTTCTGCTTCACAGCTACTTTCTCCAACCTGGGCTTCCCACCTTCAGTGTCATCCCTCTAACCCATTCCTGCGCCAAGACGGAGTGATACAGTGCGTAAAGTCTTGTTCCTTCCCTGCTCAGAGTTCTTTCACAACTTCCGAGTACCCTTAGAGTAATTCCTTTAACAGTATACACTTCCAGTCAAGATGGCAGCGTAGGTAAACATAACACACATCCTTCCACAACCACATGAAAAATACAACTAAACTACGTAACAACCATCATTCAGAACAGCCTGAAGTCTAGCTGACTGGAAGTTCTACAACTAAGGATATAAAGAAGCAGCCACACGAGACTAGTTCCCTGTTTCCCCGAAAATAAGACAGTGTCTTATATTAATTTTTTCTCCCAAAGTTGCACTAGGTCTTATTTTCGGAGGATGTCTTATTTTCGGGGAAACACGGTAGGAGGAGTGGATATGAATAATAAGTCTAGCCGAAACTGGTTTGGCTCAATGGATAGAGCCTCGGCTTGGGGACTGAAGGGACCCGGGTTCGATTCCGGTCAAGGGCATGTACCTTGGTTGCGGGCATATCCCCAGTGGGGGGGGTGCAAGAGGCAGCTGATTGATGACTCTCATCAATGTTTCTAGCTCTCTATCTCTCTCCCTTCCTCTCTGTACAAAAACAATAAAATATATTTAAAACAATAATAATAATAATAATAAGTCTAGCACCTCAGATGGCAGATAAAAATTGGGAGGAATATCTTGGCTGCAGAGGTCCTCCCCTGAGTAGTGAGGGGTCCCAGCCCCACTCCTGGTCCCCCACTCCAGGCTTGTAGTGCTGAGAAGAGAAGTCTCCATAGCTGTGGCTGTGAAAACCAGTGGGGACTGTGGCTGAGTGAGATGGGGGGCTTATGGAGTCACAGGCAGTTCCTCTTAAAGGGCTCAAGCACACCTACTTGGATTCACTCCCTCTGAGTTCCAGCCCTGGGGCAGGCGCCCAAAAGGCACCAGGGACATATGGGGAGGGACGGAAGTGCAGGGATCAGGGCAAGAGCTGGAGGGGCAGCTTTCTCTCAGACAGAAGTGCTGGCAGAGGCCATATTCCTTTTCTGAGCCCTTCCCCCACAGAGCCTGCAGGAGGGTGCCACCTCCAAGTTTCCATCACCCTGGCTATCACTGTTTGCCCTGGTGATTCCCTGAGACCTTGCCCCACCAACGTTCAGGCCACCCAAGTATTTTCCAATGGCCTTTCCATGTGAATCACCTGTCTTGGCTCCATGCTTCAGACATTCCCAGAATCTCTCAAACAAGCAGCATCTGGCTTTGGCACGCCCCATCCCTCTTTCTAAGTGGCCCAGGACCCATACTGTATGGCTTGCAGCTTGGCCTCTCCTGGATACTTCCAAGCTGAGCACAAGTAGCGGTCATGTGCAGATTGCTTTGTAGCACATGCCCGGCGACCTGAGCAGAACACAGGTGGCCGTTGATCTTTGCCTGCAGCTTCAGGAGGCTCCAGAGCCAGCACACCCAGGGAACAGCTTCAGACCCACAAGCAACTCACTTAAGCAGCGAACTTAGCAGCCACCGGGGCCTTGCTGACTTTGTGGGATGGGCCCTGCACAGCTGATCCTCCATGCTGGTCGCAGGCAGCCCTTGCAGCCGACTGGCCTGGGTAAACCCCTCCAACAGCAATCAGGGCTCAACTACAAGAGGAGGGTGTACATGGCCCGCAGGAAGGGGTGGACACAACTGAAGTGCCGAGGTCGGGTGAATGGGGAGCCTGTGCCTCTGACCCTATAGAACATGTACTACATTAGGCCTACTACCAAGACTGGGACACAAAGCAGCTCTACCTAATCACAGGGAGGCTGACACCACGAGGAGACAAACACGTCCCAAATGAAAGAACAGAACAAAACTCCAGAAAAAGAACTAAGCAAAATGGAGATAAGCAATCTTCCTAGAAGCAGAATTCAAAGCAGTTGTTATAAGGATGCTCAATGATGCCGAAACCGGTTTGGCTCAGTCGGTCTGCGGACTGAAAGATCCCAGGTTCGATTCCGGTCAAGGGCATGTACCTTGGTTGCGGGCACATCCCTGGTAGGGGGTGTGCAAGAGGCAGCTGGTCGATGTTTCTCTCTCATCGACATTTCTATCTATCTCTTTCCCTTCCTCTCTCTAAAAAATAAATAAAATATATTTAAAAAAAAAAAAAAAAAAAAGGATGCTCAATGAACTTAGGGGAAGAGTAGATGAACTTGGAATTTCAACAGCATTACGAAAAGACATGAGGCCCTTGCTGATTTGGCTCAGTGTCAGCCTGCGGACTGAAAGGTCCCAGGTTTGATTCTGGTCAAGAGTACATGCCCAGGTTATGGGCTTGATCCCATTGTGGGGCATGCAGGAGACAGCTGATAAATGATTCTCATCATTGATGTTTCTATCTCTCTCTCCTTCTCTGAAATCAATTAAAAATATTTTTTTAAAAAGAGAGAGAAAAGCAGTTAGTTACCTACATGGGAGCTCCCATAAGACTTTCAGCTGATTTTTTAACAGAAACTTTACAGGCCAGAGGGATTAGCAAGAAATATTTAAAGTAATGAAAAATAAGGACCTATAACCAAGATTATCCAGCAAAGCTACATTTAGAATAGAAGGACAGATAAAGAACTTCCCAGACAAGGAAAAACTAAAGGAGTTCATCACCACCAAGCCAGTATTAGATGAAATGTTAAAGGGAGAAGAAGGAAAGAAAGAAAGAAAAAAAAGATTAAAAATACGAACAGTAAAATGGCATTAAATACATATCTATCAACAATCGAATCTAAAAACAAAATAAAGAGCCAAGCAGAACAGAAACAGCCCTGGCTGGTGTGGCTCAGTTGTTTGGCATCTTTCTGTGCACTGAAAGGTTTCTGGTTCGATTCCTGGCCAGGGCACATGCAAGAGTTTGGCATTCAGGTTCAATTCCCAGTAGGGGGCATGCAGGAGGCAGCCAACTGATGTTCCGTTCTCACATAAATCTCTCATTGATAGCAACAGAATAGTCATGGGGATGTAAAGTAGGGAATATAGTCAATAATATTCTAATGATTATGTGTAGGATCAGATGGGTACAAGATTTATCGGGATGATCACTTAGTAAGTTATATAATGTCTAATCACTGTACAGCTGAAACGAATGTAATACTGTATGTCAACTGAGGTTGAAAAATGATTTCAAAAATGTTTTCAAAAGAACACCTGAAATAGTATAGTCAATTAGGGAATAGCTCTGAAGTCAGAGAGACTGGTTCAGATGCCAACTCCTCCACTTATGTGTGCTTTTATTTTATTTAAAAAAAAAAAAATATATATATATATATATATATATATATATATATTATTGATTTTTACAGAGAGGAAGGGAGAAAAATAGAGAGTTAGAAACATCGATGAGAGAAAAACATGGATCAGCTGCCTCCTGCACACACACACACACACACCCCCAGGGATGTGCCCGCAACCAAGGTACATGCCCTTGACCAGAATTGACCTGGGACCCTTCAGTTCACAGGCCAACGCCTATCCACTGAGCCAAACCGGTCAGGGCTTGCGTGTGCCTTCAGGCAAGTCACCTAAACTGATAGTACCTGAGCTGCCTCATCTGCAAAATCAAGATAACAATGATCTTGCTGGGTTTTTGTGAGGATTAAATGAGTGAACATGTGTAAGAATACATGTGAGGCACTCAGGCCAGTATCTTAGGCAGATCAAGTGCTCTGAGGCCAGCTCTGGTGTTTATCAGCCTCACGGATCCTCACGGAGCCTGCAGCTCTCTGCTCTGTGCCCCCCCTTCAGCCCTCAGCCCTTCAGCCTTCATCTACTCAGCACCAAGCTGCTCCCCAGGGTCTCAGCACCCTGCAGGCACGGACTGCTCTGTTCAGAGCAAACTGGGGTCCCAGCCCCCAGCCCAGGAGTCAGTGTGGTTAGTCTTGTGCAGGGAACCCTGGGAGAAAGAAGAGAGGGAAGAGAGGTCTGGGGGTGCAGGGTTCCCACCTCTTGGATCAGCCCCTCCAGGGCGGAGAAGCTGGGCCGGTCAGCAGGGTGGAGGGCCCAGCAGCGCAGAGCGAGGGTGTAGAGGGCCCGGGAGCAGAGAGGAGGCCTGGGCAGCCGCGCTTGCTCCTTCTCCAGCCGCTGCAGGATGAGGTAGGGCGGGACCCAGGCCCAGGGCTCCTTGCCCCCGGAGAACATCTCCCACAGCGTCACCCCGAACATCCACACGTCCGAGGCGGGAGAGAAGGCCCCCTGGCGCAGGCTCTCCGGGGCGCACCTGCGGAAGGGGAGCTGAAGGGGGCTGGCTGTGTGCCCCTGGGGTTTCCCCCTCCCAGTGAGCATCCCCCCCTCCCCCAACCCCGGGCTCCCAAATCCTTCCAGACCCACGGACTCCTCTGGGTCCAGTCCCTCCGTTACTGCCCTCCAGATCCTCACCCTCAGGACCGGCCCCCGAACACTCTCCTGTGGGCGCCCCGCACTCACCAGGCGTAGGGGATGGGGTGCCCCCCAACCCACACACACACTCACCAGGCGTAGGGGATGGGGTGCCCCCCACACATACACACACTCACCAGGCGTAGGGAATGGGATGCCCCCCACACACACATTCACCAGGCGTAGGGGATGGGGTGCCCCCCACACATACACACACTCACCAGGCATAGGGGATGGGGTGCCCCCCACACATACACACACTCACCAGGCATAGGGGATGGGATGCCCCCCACACACATACACACTCACCAGGCGTAGGGGATGGGGCGCGGCCCGCCCATCACGTAGCGGCCCCGGGCGCCGCCCAGCGGCCGCACCAGCCCAAAGTCGGCCACCTTGATGGTGCGCGGGGCGGTCAGCAGCAGGTTGCGCGTGGCGAGGTCGCGGTGCACCAGCCCGCGGGCGCCCAGGTACGCCATGGCCGCCGCCAGCTGCCGCAGGAACAGGCAGAGCAGCGCCACGGGCAGCGGGGCCGCGGGCGCCGGCGCCGTGAGGCGGGCGTGCAGGGAGCCCAGCGGCGCCAGCTCCATCACCTGCGGGAGGCGCCGGTGAGCGGGGCGGCCCCACGGAGGCCCCACCCCGGGGGCCCAGCCCACGGAGGCCCGCCCCACGGAGGCCCCACGGAGGCCCGCCCCACGGGCCCTAGTCACCCGCCCGCCCTCTTCCTCCGCCCGGGCCGTCCCGGGAGCCCGCCGGGTCGCTCACCATCTGCAGGGGCTGGCCCAGCACGAGCCCGTGCAGCCGCAGCAAATGCGGGTGCTCCAGGCTCATCATGACCGACACCTCCCGGAGGAAGTCCCTCAGCCCCGAGCCCGCAGAGCCCTCGGCCGCCACCCGGAGGGACTTGACCGCCACCGGGACCTGGGGGCGCGGGGAGAGGCACCGTCAGGCCCCGCGGGGAGAGCTACACCAGGGCCAGAGGGTGGGCGCGGAGTGGAGGGGCGGGGGGGGGGGGGGCAGCAGGGGGCGGGGGGGGGCAGCAGGGCGGAGGACAGCAGGGCGGGGGGCAGCTGGCCCAGGGACCTGGGGCAGGAGGCTCCCTGATACTCACGCTCTGACCGTTGGGCAGCGTCCACAGCCCGCGGTGCACCACCCCGAAGCAGCCGGAGCCCAGCAGCTCCCCTCTGCACACAGCGCCGTCGGGGATCAGACACTTGAGGCCCCCCTCCGGCTCCGGGAGGGACGGGGGGCTGTCTGAAGGTGGGGGGGTCGTCTCCTTCTGCTCAGGGGCAAGCCCCCCAAGGATCTGAAACGGGGGAGGGAAATCCGGTGTGCGGAAGCCTGCAGACCCCTGCCACTCGGCACAGCCCACCCCCCAGCCTGAGCTGGCCCCCTCAACCTCTCACCCCCACCCCGAAACACACACCTTGTAGACCCAGTTCTTAGGCTTGTGCCCCACACGGTGCCTCTTCAAAGCTTCAGCCAGTCTGCGCTGGGCTGGGGGAGACCGGAATTAAAGGGCTGGTAGTATGGGGGCGGGGGGTTATGCCAGGAATGTAAAGGTAAGAGAGGGCTGGTGTGGGAGGGGGGCAGTTTGGGGGGGAGAGGGCCGCGGGCCGGGGCCTCACCGGGCCGGCCCATGCCAATGGCGTCCAGGTCCTGAGGCCTCACGAAGTCGAAGTGCTCGGGCCGCGTGACGTTCAGCTCCTCCAGGATGGGCCTGTGGAACTGGGCCAGCTGCAGGCCCCGCAGCAGCCGCAGCAGCCAGGGCGAGCCCGCCTCCGCCTCCGGGAGCATGTCTGGAAGGAGCGGGGATGGAGCGCTCTCCTCCAGACTCGGCACCCGGGGGCACCCGAGACAGGGGCCCCAGGGCTGTGGTCCCCGCTCCGCCCTCCCCATCAGACACCCTCAGGGTTGGAAGGAGGGACACATCAGGGACCCCACTACACTCACAACTCACACACCCAGAGATGGCTCCCCGTGCAGAGACCGAGGCCGCTGCCCCTCGCACCTGAGACTCCACCATGCAGACTCCAGGCATGTCCCCTGCTCACTCTCCAGATGGCACAGCGCCCGGCCCCTAGCACACCCAGACACACGCCTTTTCAGACCGGAGACACACCGCTGCACACTCATGTACCCCGGAGACACCTCACTCACACAGGAGACATTTTACACATACATTCCAGAGGTGCCCAGATAGGCTAACCACACCGTACCTCAGACCCTCAAACAAGTAGGCACACACACGTGCACATACACACGAAGGTACACTGCCTCCCACACCCACACCCACACACACACACACTGACAGGTTCTAGCACGCTGCCATAAAACGCCAGGCTTACTGCACATACCTCTCACACACATGTCGTGGAGACAGGGCTGCCCCCTATGTCCACAGCACCGAGGTCCTCATGAACACACACCACACGACAAGCGTCCACAGACACCTGAGGCCGCAGGCAGGCAGACTGCCCCTCCCCGGAGAGGTCCCGTCACTGCCTCGCACCGGAGGCTGCAGCATCTGCAGTGGAATCCGGCCGCGCTCCCAGCTCGGACACCCCCGGCCCCTCCCTGCAGCAGCAGCACTGAGTCACCCCCGGGCCTCCGGGGCCCCCTCCGGGCCCCTCCCTGAGTCACTCACTCAGCTCAGGGCAGCCACAGCCTCCGGCGCTCTGGGCACCGGCTGCCAGCACTCTCCTCACACACCTGCACACCAACCCTTCCTTCCACACACACACACACACCCCTCAGCAGCACACTCTCCTCACACACCTGCACACCAACCCTTCCTTCCACACACACACACACACCCCTCAGCAGCACACACTCTCCTCACACACCTGCACACCAACCCTTCCTTCCACACACACACACACACCCCTCAGCAGCACACTCTCCTCACACACCTGCACACCAACCCTTCCTTCCACACACACACACACACCCCTCAGCAGCACACACTCTCCTCACACACCTGCACACCAACTCTTCCTTCCACACACACACACACACACACACACACACACACCCCTCAGCAGCACACTCTCCTCACACACCTGCACACCAACTCTTCCTTACACACACACACACACACACACACACACACACACACACAGCGGGAGGCAGCGGGGCCCCACGCTGGGAACTCAGGGTGAGCAAGGACCAGGGCGGCAGGAGAGCGCCGGAGCCTGGCTGCGGGGCGGCCCGCGGGGAGGAGAGGACCGGGCAGGGAGGACCCGGCAGGGAGGACCCGGCAGGGAGGATCGGGCAGGGAGGACCCGGCAGGGAGGACCCGGCAGGGAGGATCGGGCAGGGAGGATCGGGCAGGGAGGACCCGGCAGGGAGGATCCGGCAGGGAGGATCGGGCAGGGAGGACCGGGCAGGGAGGATCGGGCAGGGAGGACCGGGCAGGGAGGACCGAGCAGCGGAGGGCGAGGCGGGCAGCCCGGGGCCGGGCCCTCACCTGGAAAAGGCGGAAGCGGCGGCTCCTTGGGCTCGGGCGCTGCCGGGACTAAATCCTTGCGGGGCGGGACGGCAGCGGGCGGTCCGCGTGGGCAGGTGAGGCTGCGGGGGCGGCCCCTCCCCCAGGTCAGACCCGGAGCACGCTCCCCCCCTCCCAGCCTCCCCCCTCTCCCCCTCCCAGCCTCCTCCAAAGCACTCCTCACGCTCCCCACTCTCCCCGGCCAAACCCTCCCTCCCGGGCCGCCCCTGAGGGCGTGGCGCCGGCCCAGCTCACCTGGCCCCGCTCACCGGGCCGGCCCGGAGGTAAGGCTGAGCCGGAAGCAGCCCGGGCCGGGGAGGCAGAGACCTTCCTGGCACCTCCGGGCCAGGCTGGCAGCGCGGGGCGTTCGGGAATGAGGTTGGGGCGGAGAGGTGGTGGCGGTGGTGCAGAAAGTCAGCCCCCGTCTCAACAGAAGACGGAAGACGGTGCCCTTTCCCCAGCTCTGACGCGGGAGGACCTTTGGGTGCTCCCTGGGTGGGACTCGCAGGAGGGCTTGTGTGCGCGTGCATTGGGGCGGGGACAGAGCTCCTGAGTGGCTCTCAGCCCCACCCCAGCTCGGCACCTGTTCTTGGTGGTCAAAGCAGCGTTCCATGCATCAGGGCACACCCCCCCCCCCCCAGCATCTGACCTCCCCGCCCCATTCTGGCATAGCCTCCCTCGCCCCATGTACAGGGCTGCTTGGCCTTGGCCGAGGGGACACAGCCTGGGACCGTGATGAAGGCTCCCTTCCTTTCCCTCGGAGGTCCTAGGGAAGCCATCAGACTTAGGACATCTTTTCTGTCTCCGTCCCAAGGCAGGATTTGTGAGCACGGCAGCTACTGCCCTCAGAGCCCCTGGGAAGGAAAAGCCCACCCCATCTTGATAAACACCTGGGACCTTGCAGCATTGATGGGAAAATCTTTTTTTTAATCAATAATAGCTTTATTATTATTTAAAAAATATTTTTATTAAATTTTTATATGTGTACATATTTTAACATTGCCCCCCCCCTCCCATACATACCCTCCCTCTGATGGGAAAATCTTAGTAGCTCACAGCTCTAGCTGTATGGCCTTCTTGCCAATTCTCTTCACCACCCAGGCCGGCTGCTCGCACCGTCATTGCTCCCTCCACATCTGTTGTTCCTGACACACCTGTAGGCTCCACAGAGTCTTGTTCATCTTGTGTTCTTCGTCCTGGGGCCAGTGTGGGTATGTAATAGGTGCAGTGCAGATTTTGAAGAAGTCTGCTTCGTCTAATTGTCATTCCTTTGTAGTAGGTGATGACTTTTCTCCCTGATTTTAGGACATTATTGGTGTTTTGTAGTTCTATTACAAATGTTAACGGGAAAAAAAACATTGAGCCAAAGCCAGTTTGTCTCAGTGGTAGAGCGTCGGTCTGCGGACTGAAGGGTCCCAGGTTCGATTCCGGTCAGGGGCATGTACATTGGTTGTAGGCACATCCCCAGTAGGGGGTGTGCAAGAGGCAGCTGGTCGATGTTTCTCTCTCATCGATGTTTCTAGCTCTCTGTCTCTCCCTTTCCTCTCTGTAAGAAATCAATAAAATATATTTAAAGAAAAAGAAAAAAAAAACATTGAAACTTGTAAAGAATTTTTGTGAGTTTATTTGAGCTAAACTGTCAACATATGCCGGGAAGCAGAACCTCAATGGATTGAGATAATGCTCTGGAGAATGGCGGGTTACATTTCTATATTTACATGTTGCAATCAAAAGAAAGGGACGTAGGTGAGTTACATGAAACTCACTGGTGATAGATTAGGGAGGTGGGACAAAGTGAAGTGGGGAAACCTCTGGGATAGAGTAAAAGGTGAAATTTACAGAGGTGGATAACAGTTGACAATTAACTTGACAACAATAACAATGAGGGAATGTCTTGAGGCCATTTGTTGTGCCCTGAGGGGTCTGGGGTAAAAAGGAAGTTACAAGTTACCCAGACATCTCACAGATATGTTATCTTAGAGGCAGGAAGGCAGATGGGATCAGTAAAGAACATCTAAGTTGATCTTTGTCAGGTGAGATATTGGCCTAGAACATGACTACCCACTGTAACCTGTTTGTAGTTAGATATTTAATTTTCAAACCATCTTTTGTGGTTATTTTAGGTCTCTGAGTTTGCAAGACTGCCACGTAGGCCTCTCCTGAGCTTGTCAGGTTAGCCTCTGGCTCTTTTCTTTCATACATTTCCCCTTTTGGTTATTAATCAATCCAAAGGATGCATTGATGACCAACCTTTTGGTTGGATAATGGAGTCCCACAGCGCTAGGAAGGCTCATTCCTAGGATGTCTCAGTGTCAGCATGTCTTGCTGAACCGTTGGATCACTGGGGATGGGGGCAAGACGTTCCTAGCGCTATGACCTTCGATGGCACTTAAGGTTGAATTATATATTTTAAAAAGGCAGGTAGATGGGAGGCAGTCAGATCCTATATGTCCTTATTAAAAAGTATTCTAGATCATTTCTAATTTTTGAACCACTATCATCCGAGTCTTTTTGCTGTTTGACTTACATTTTGCCTTTCTGCATCTGATATAACATTTACATATCATGGACAAAAGTAACAATAGTAAAGCAATAACAGTGATTAGGAACAGAAGATGTCTAATACTAGACAAGGAAAAATCTAAAGGGAACAAGCATCCCAGCCTACCGAAAACCCCTTTACATGTATTATCATAATTTTTTATTAAGCTAATTATATGTTTTCCTCCTTCGTCCACTGTCATTTGTACTTTATGATATGTTTGGCCAGATGAATTGAGACTCTCTATTATTTCATTATCTAGAAGTTCTAATTTTTCTTCTGGCCAATTAGTTTCCATAGAAATGACTTCACGGGGAGGATTAAGTTCAATTTCCCAATACATTGGTTTTTCAATATCAATATTATCATACGTTTTATGAACCTCAGGCAAAGTTATTTTGCCTACAATTTCAATATTACACCATATTCCAGTATTATTTAAAGTAAACTTGGTGTTATTACAGTAACAATCGCTTATTATAACAGAAGAGTTTTTTGGTTTCTTTTAAATATATTTTATTGATTTTTTTACAGAGAGGAAGGGAGAGAGATAGAGAGCTAGAAACATTGATGAGAATCATCGATCAGCTGCCTCCTGGACACCCTCTACTGGGGATGTGCCCTCAACCAATGTACATGCCCTTGACCGGAATCGAACCTGGGACCTTTCAGTCCACAAGCCGATGCTCTTGACCACTGAGCCAAACCGGTTTCGGCAACAGAAGGGTTTTTTAACCCTTCCCAGCAAAAACACCCCTTTCCCATATA